CCTCTACCTTGATGGGATAAAAACCAAGCCCCTCTTTTGCTGCATAATTAGACATCCTTTATCTCATCAGTGGTCAGCTTCTGGCCGAACATTTTTGGTGGTGGACCACTTTCAGCCTAGAAACACCACTGTGCTGAGAACCCACCCAAATAATAACTGGTCAAAGCAATCCTGTGGTAACAAACTTACCAATGATGAATAAGGAAGAGGGTGGCTGATAAATTGTGCAGCAACAGGTGAGCTAGTCAGTAACTGTCCACCTATAAAGTGGACCTACCAGTTGTTGTTTCTAATAAAGGGGCCAGTGAAAGGAAGTGCAAGGAAGGAGTTTCTAATAAAGTGGATGGTGAGTGTATGCAAAGTATGTCATTGTGAGAATGAGGAATTAAGGCCTGGAGCCTCTGATCCTTATTTAGTTGTGTTAAAGTTTCACATATCTAAATACCACTTACCTATTAGACTAATTCTCACATCAATGCAGATGCCACAATACTGGGAGGACCAGAATCCTAACAGCCTTTATGAAGATGCCCTCAATATGGACGGAAGCTTCGGCTCTCCTTCGCACAGCAGTGAGGCTGATCTAGCAGACCGCTCTAGGCTGGATCTTACTGTACAGCAGCTCCTGAGGGAGGCTAGAGAGAAGCCCAAAGGCTGGGTAACCTGCTCCACCTCAGATCATGTGGACGTGGCATTTAAAAAGGTGAGCATTTATTTGTCCTGAACATGCTGATAAAAGGCAGCCAAATGAGGTGTGAGGGACCTCAGAAACAGAAGGGCAGGTAGTAGCTGGGGAAATGGAAGGGCAGGTAGTAACTCGAGACCCTCTGCTGCAGATGGAGGAAGGCTACCCCTTGCTGTTGTGGAGGGGGACAGTGGAAGTGGATTCCCCGCAGCAAGAAGTCCTTCAGCGCATCCTGAGGGAACATGGGCAGTGGCAGAGTGACCTTCAGCATAGCGAGGTGGTAGAGACCCTGGACAAGGATGCAGAGGTCTACCAGTATACACTGCAGGCCGCCGGAGCCAGGCCACCACTGCAGCATGTGCTGCTGAGGTAAAGGGTCCAATAAATTCGTCAAATACCACATTTGTAAACCAATAAAATCTAAACAGCAGTCTGATGCCAGTAATCATGCATCATGCATCCCTAATTTACACCCCTGCAATTTAGCCTACACGTTTTCAGCTAAGAAGAAGTGGTAGGGAGCTATAACTTAACTGACCCTTAACAAAATCAAAGTCAGGAGAGCTTTTGGGTTTTTGCACATAGGTGATCTTCTACTGGACAAATCTCTGTATTAACAACATGACTACAAAAGTCGAGACCAGGTGGCTAGCATAATTATTAAGTTCACTACGCAAATTGAGACTCGACACGGGTCTCATCCAGGATTAACTCGCCTATTCTGTGACAAATGAGTGCAATAGAGAGAAAATCCCTTGACAACGCCAACTCATGACATGCCTGCCATTTTATATGTAATCCTGTTTACTGCTGCCATGGTTGTATGCAAGCCACCCCATAGTTCAATGAGCCAACACGGCTGCTCAGCTTGCTAGTGTAACTCAAGTGATCTCTCAATACTGTTGCAAAACTTGACTTCTCCACCCACAGGACCTGGCACTCAGATCCTTCACCAGGGCCTCTATTTGTGGCATCCACTTCAGTAGAGCGTCCTGACGTCCCAACCAGAGGGGCAATGGCCCAAGTGCTCTGCTGCCTGTTTCTTGTGGAGCCGATGGGGGCGAAAAGGTCACGACTCACGCACTTCTGCCGAACAGACACCAGGTGAGTATTGCGGGTCTAAGAAAGGGAAAATGGGGACGGAATAGGGCAAAAGAGATAAAGATGAACAGCTCAGTTTCTTCTGTAGTTCCTTGGGTGATCAATTTGTTCCCTGCATGGGTGTTTTGAACTGAAGGCTCTGGCAGATTCAGATTTTGAAGGAGAATCAATGAAACATGAACCCATAATACAGAAAGCAGTTGTGGAGAAAATTGAGACGTACACCTGGGGATGCTTTGTGACAGGGGAAACGTGTAGCACAATCATTGAAAAATATTGCGCTGGCTTCATTGGCCGGCACCAACTGAGATGACAGGTTTGGGAATGTAAAGGAAGAAATACTATATATTTCTCTGATTGTGTTTTACATTTTACTGCCAAAGCAAACCCCCTGCCCTGGTCTGTAATAGAGTTACATATTGGTGCTGCATTTTCAAAGACAGAAGGGCTATTAATTAGTTATCACCTTTACTACGGCACTGTGTACCAGAGACAGATCAGTATTGCAACATAAAGTACTTCAATTCATCTCAGTGACAACTGTTTATGACTGCTTTAAGTTAATTACAACCACTTTCAGAGCAATGAAATACGCTCAGCTCGCCTTCTTCCTTCTCCTCCTAAAACCCTTTAGAAAAAAGACAAAATTGCAGTAGGTAGAGGAATAATTTGTTGTGACATTAATTTAGGCTAGTGGTGGCTTGCTTAAAACATTCTGTTTATTTGTTCCTTTTAAGTCTGCTTAACATTGTCTGCAGGCCTAATGGGGCCGATCTCATTAGCTGAGGAGGAAATTGAAAGTAAACTAGTCTTTGTCTGAGGCTCCTATGGCCCATATGTCTCTGTGATGGTATGCCTGGAGTCCCAGCCCTGTTATTTATTCTGCGCTCTGTCTCTCTCTATCAGGGGACGATCTCCAGAATGGCACAATAAAGTTGGTGGACACCTGCTTTCCTCCACCCTGGTGGCAATTAGGGACTCCTTTCGACCCAAGACGAAAGATTCCAGGGTATGAATGGACTTGATTTTTGCAACCCGGGACAGTTTTGCAACCTACTTTTTCAGCTCATCCACACAAGCAAATGGAAAATAAAAAGACAAAAACAATAAAATGTCGATGTGAAGAGCTGCACAGCTGGAGGAAGATGGAATGGGATCTCAGAATGGTTGTTCCAATGCCAGCACTGGGGGAAGAGTTACAGAAGCATTTCAATGCAGCCTGCAGACTAGGAAAAACAAGAGTATGATGAGATGTTCCAGGAGAGCCGCTTCGCTTGGCTTTATCAAGACTGACAAGGGAGAGTGTCAGAGTAATGAAACGTCTCATCCCATTTGAAGGGCTGTTCCTCGGGCTAATGCATCGCAAAGGTTGTCTCCAGCGCTCTCGCCTCGCTCTGTTTTTAAAGCGTTAAAAGAAGGACTGCAAATGTGAAAATCTACTTCTTTGAGGAGTCCCTACATCATTGTTCTACATGGAGACGCTACCAACGCGTCACTTCAAAGCATGACAGACACGCCAATTCGGGGCAGACGCCTCGCTGTAGGGAAATTCTTTTGTACTTTAGTGACTGTGACACTGATTCGTGAAGGCATGTTGTTGTGTTGGAAACTGTAACATTCACATATTTATTCCAGAGTGGTTGAAAGTGTGTCTGATCAAGCTAAGCACCTCCATCTGAGGGTGTATATGACCTGGCATATTACAATGCTCTTCGACGTTGTTGACTTAAACGCCTGTAGTGACTTCAAATACTACATTTCGCTCTCCGTGTCGGAAGTTTGTCTTTGTACATATTTAAAAGTGTGTGTGATTCATTGTATTTCAACTTCAAAATCTTTTATGGTGATGTAATATAATTGAATGTTTTAATGACTTATAGAAAAGATTATTTAAACGTATATAAACAAATCAAACAACCTTAACTACTGAAGAGCTATTTTATCTAATCTAGCCCGCTATATGGGACCTGTTACACCCTGTTAAGCTAATCAACTCTACTGATCAGCACTGTCCAATGTATTTGTCTTTGTCGTGAATTATGAAAAGTTTGCATACTTGTATGCAGTCTGTTTTTGAAAAAAAAAAAAGGATTTCTTGCATATTCAAATGAAAAATGATCAAAATTGTCTCAAATGTTGAAAATAGGATTTTTGTGGCAAGGCCACAGCCCCTCCTTTTTGCACATTTCAAACAAGCAGATGCACTTGATTTGACTCATGACTTTGACATGACCGCTTCAAGGTTAAAACTATTGTGTTTCTGTTTTGACTGGACCACAAGCACCAACAGCCTTTCTACTCAAGTTCTTTCCATTAACTCAATGTTACTTCTTTGGGACATGTAGGGTCAAAGTCAGTCATCGCTTGGTGTTATCCTTTATAAACTAAACTAAATAAACTAAAAATGTTATTGCAGATATTGTGTGGGAGTCTACATCCTTTTTAAATACTTTATCCCTCTCTGCTGAAAGCCCACACTACATTCGAGTAAGTTGCAGAACTGCATTAAGATAAGAGCAGAGCAACCCAGGACATTTACCTGCACTTCAGCATGTAATTAGTATATTTTCCAAATCTATAATTTAGATCTCACACTCAGAAATTATCAGCAAACTGCTGGTAGCGTCCAAAGAGTAAAGAATAACCAAAGGCCCGGCGAATAAATGAAATCAGTCCAATTAATCTCCATACTGATTATCAGGCCAGGACACTACATTAATCACCCACAATTCATTTAATCTTGAAGCCTAAGTAAAGAAAGAGCACGATTATACGTGCTGAACTCGATTACTTTATCTAAAATGAAATAATTCAGAGTCTGAAGTCTTTGCTTTGGAAGAAAATAAATCAACGAATGCAGAACATGTAAAAAAAATCTTGATTTATTGCATAATAACCCCAAGGTTTTCATTTTTAGTTGGACTGAATATGGCATCAAAACCCAATAAAGAGTAGAACTTTTGATAGAACCAAAGCTACGCAGCTAATTATCCATATTCTTTACGGATTTAGTAGAATGTGTGCTGTATTTTCAAATTTTTTAACGATCAACTGGATCTCATTTATCTTTTCTGGTATTTCCAGAAATGTGATGAGCCATGTGGTGTGGTTGTGAACAATCAGACTGGCAGCTCTGGCTGGCCATCCCTCAATCTCTGGATGGCTATTTTGACATTTACAAGAAGAATGATAAGCAACTGAGCCAAAACACATCTTTACAAGGAGTCATTTGGGTTTTATTCGGTTTACCATCAAATCCAACAGGACATTAATGGTTGGCGAGAAGGGCTTGTGGTCAAGGCAACAGCTAGGTCACATCCTCTGGACTGGGTTGAGACCCAATATGTCAAAGCCTTTGGCCATAATGGCTGCCGTAGCCTCGCACAGGAGCATCCTCCACATGTTGACTTTGACCACCTCCCCTGAGAAAAACAAGAGAAATCGTAATTGGTAAACTTGCAATTTTCACAGAAAGCTTGTTACTTTCCCATCAAATCAATGACTTCTTGCGTGCACGGACACTTAGAGGCTATTAAGTAGCTTAACAACTGTTGACATTATGGTAGGCAATATTGCTACTTCATTTTCGCCCACAAGTGAAATCCAAGCAATGTTCTCAAAGTTCAATAGCAAATGCAAAACCATAATGAAAGAGTTGAAAAATGTGCAATAATGTGGCTTTACAGGCAACTGATGTCAACCGAACTGATTAGTTTCATCTTTTGAAGTGCCGCTTTGTGAAAATTTAAAAACCGTGAACAATTAAAAAAAGGTTAAGTAATTAAGTAATAATAATAAAAAAGGTTGGAAATACAATTGTGAGGGGTTCTGTCAATATGTAGCCAACTAGATGTTGCAATCTGGCTCTTAAGTGCCGTCCACTGAATATAGTTACAGTAAATTGCTTAATCCATACCATTCTAAACTGGTTTAATTCAATGTTGTGAGGCAGGAAAATCTATAGTACTAGACGACTATCTGAAACTTTGCCATGTTTTACAACTAAATGAGGACAAATGGTGAAAGAACTATAAGAAAGTTTTGCCACTAGCAGGAGTAAATACATTCTTGGTCCAACATGTTCTCTGTGCTAATTCAAAGGACAGCCTGCATCAAAGTTTCACAATCCCCTGTCAAACAGTTCACATCTTCACAAAGTTCACAAAGATCTAATCAGCATACTTGGAGAACAACTTTTTCAATCATGACTAGTCACAGCCCAGGAGTGCTTCTAATCTCTTTTGTGAAACTCAGTTTTCATTAGTCTATATTAAAAGAGCTATTTAATCCAAGAAGATCTAGCTTCATCAGTGTCTGTGTAACCAGCTTTTAACGAGGAAATTTAATTGTGGGTGGAAAAAAACACTGAACCAAGTCCAATAACATGCAGGTTGTTTGGACAGAAAATCTGACCTGAGTCTCAGTCTATTCTTCACATTAAACATATACTATTCATTCATACATCCATCTAATGGAGGAAAAAGCATCTGTCTATTATAGTTATTGTGCTGTTTCAGCCAGTAATGGCATTATATAATGGCATGACATTCTGTTCTTTTCTAGTCTAGTCTAGTGTCTCAGACAAGGGTGTCTCATTTACTTCCTGGCAGGCCAAAACTCAGCAGAAATGTGTGCTTTCTTTCTTTTAACACAATGAATCCTCTGATAATTAGGCTGAAGAGTTCAATTAGGTGTGTTAAATGAGATCTCTATCCCCTCAGTGCTGGGGCCTTCCAGGACTGGAGTCGAAGCAGGGGTCAGCAATATGGCAAATATCAAATACAGTATCATAACACTTCAAAACAGTTTCATAATGCACGATTAGGGCTGTCACTTACCAACAATATTAGTAAGTGAGTAATCTAGCTGTTATTTTGTTGATAAATCAAGTAATCTTTTTTTAAGGCCAAACAATAAAAAATGATTTTAACTAAACATACTACGTAGAGCCATGAAGCTCTTTAATATGTGTACAGTCATACACAAAAGTTTGAACACCAACAGTCAAATATGTTTTGCTGAAAACATACGTTAAAATCAGATTAACATCCTCTAAAAAAATAACTTTAAATATGGCATTTTTCTGCAAATTGTAGAGAAATTAACATACTGAAAATAAAAATGAATTAAATGTGCCATGACATTTGCACAAACCACATTTTGTTTTATTTCTTCCCCTTAATATGTTAAACTAAGCAAATAAACAGTAATTGTGTGTTAAAATTTGCAGATGTTTTCTCTGTAGAGAACACAGAAACTTAACCAAACACGTCAATTAAATTAATCAAACACATAATCTGACTTTTGCTTACGACTCTATAATTAGAGTATCCGCAAGAATCAGCAAATTCAGTTTAAAGCTTAAGTTGCCATTTAAAGTTACTTTTATGCTGCAGAGTAAGTCATCTCATGAACTTTTGACGTTCTCTTAGTACCAACACTATGATAACGCTGATTCCTGCTTGTATTTCTATGGGAATTCCAGTGTTACGTTGGTGGTGTTCATTTCTCACACAGGGTTTAATACTACTTAACACTTAATGCAGCTCTACTCAAACACAGACATTTGTACAGCCTAACTCTGCATATTACTGGAGTAGCCTGTTAGCCTGCTTATCAACATCTCCCCCTTGTGGTGAATCTGCTAAACACAGCTTTGTAATGACCTGAAGATGTAAACTAATCAGTAATTTACCAGTCGTAAAGGTTAATAGATTATAATTATTTTTAAATCGAGTAATATGCAGCACAATAGTGTTTTTCTGAAGTTGGAACAGACAAAAAAATGATCAGTGGTGGCATATTTTAAAAATACTATCCAAATCTATAAATACTTTCTTTTTTATACATTGTTCTGCATACTGCATTGAACTAAATCCAATTAAATTGGCTTAATTAAGCTCTCTTTGTAATGAACCATGCAGTCAGTATTATTTAAGTGCTGACAACATTCAGAAAATGCTTAGAAAAGTAATATGACGTAACTCATCACAGCCACACTAAGTATACTCATATTGCCCAAACTTTACTCTAAGAACTGGCATCTGGGATCTGAAAAAGGCCAGGTCAAAGTCTAGTAAACATTTTGTAATGCAAGCCCAAACCACTCATTATTCCAACTGACTCATCCCACTGTGCGGCAAAGCACTCCTAACCCTCTGGTTCATGGCCATGCTGGGAGCCCCACCTGTCTGCCGGTCCTTCTCCACGCAGTAGCAGCTGTCGTAAAACTCTGTGAAGGTGGTGGCCAGCTCATAGAGGTAGTCACACAGCGTGTGCAGCAGCAGGTCATCCACTATCTTCTGCAGGATCTCAGGGAAGCGCAGAATGCACTTGCCCAGCCTCCATTCCTTCTCATGCTCCAGCAGGATCTCGCACGTCTCGGCTGCTTTTACGCAAGGCTGCTTCTTCAATGTTAGCCAGCCTGGCTATGGACCTGCAGGTCACAGAGCAGAATCACTGAGGTATTAATGAAAGAAGAGGTATAAATAGCATGCTAAGTACTGATCAGGAGCACTAGGAACTAGAATTGCAGAATATCATTTGTTAATTGTTGTGATGTTGACCTTTGCAATATTGATATTACAGAAGGCAGCAATACACAAATGAGCCTGTAACACAGCATTAGTGTGAAATTTATTTTGTAATTTCACATGTAAGACTTTTATTGTCAGGTGCAATAAATTCTTACTTGTATTTATTAGTCATACCAATGTTACAACACATGAAGATAAACTTCTTTTTCTTATTACATGTCAAATTAGGTGGCTACTAAAAAAAATAAATAATGAGATTATATATTATTCACATTAAACATATCGCTGTACTCAGAAGAAAACCTTGTATCTCCAAAATGATAACTTCACAGGAAAAGCAAAAAACCTACTTTACATTTAATGTAAGTCAATGGAACCAGACATTTTTCCAAGTAATCGTCTTTTGGTCCGCTCTTCATGAAATTTACACACAATGTAAAGAGCAACAGGCATTTTCAAATTATGCCAAAAACAGAAAAACAACAAAAATGTTTGAGGTTTGTATGTATGATGTATGAGGTTTTCTTCCAACAGCAGTGATAAATCAGTACACTGTGACAACAATAATTCTTTCAGAGAAAGGTATAGCTGCTACAGTTTGTGAAAGTTTGTAAATATCATATAATCTCATCTTTTAAAGTCACCATAAGCTTTGCCTGAAGCTAACGACATAACCCAGGAGCCCACAAGCTATTGTATACCTTCTTGTCAACGTGGCTGGACCTACAATTGATACAATTTATATGTTTGTATCTTTTTAGTGGATGGCCAAAGTGCAGCAGGTTTTGAACTCTTCCTGTCTCTTTCCAAGACTTTTGCACATTTACAATTTATTCGTACTCTTTCTCTCAGATATTTTCTAACCAAGAGACAATATTTGACATTTGAACTGAATATTCAGGTTGTCTGAAGCAAATTTTTTGGAACATTAAAGAAATTAAGTCAGGTGTGTTAAATGCTTTTCAGAAGCAGCATTTGGAGATCTCAGTGAACTAGGCTCATGGTGAGAAAGACAGCATACTGAATCCATTCATTACAGAGAGTGAAGTGGCAGTGAAATGCTGGGTTTGATTTCAGAATAGAAAAAGAGAAAAGACAGAGGGCCAAGGCTGAAAGTACCCATGTAGCCAGAACAAAAAAGGTGAGATGACTCCAAAGCTCTGAACTCCTGCCATGATGCCAAGAGCCTGACAGAGAGAGTGAGAGCACAGAGGCAGGCAGACACACCAAATGAGACCAGAAAGGCTTTTCAGAGACTTCACACTGATACATACACACACAGTCCATGAACAGGAACACAGAGGGACTTGTCTACCACCAACAAATATGTGCTAGAACTAGGTATCCACTGATATGGGAATCGTGGGGTGATGCTAATATTGATACTTTCCAAATACTTATCTGCCAATCCTAATGCATAAACGCTTATAAAGTGTAGATGTTGGGACAAACTCTTCCTGGATTAGCATTACAGAGTAATCTATATTTAGAGGGTTAAAAATGCAGTAATACGGAATAAAATGCAGATATTTTAGTGTAGTAGCATTTAGTGTAGTAGCTAAGCATCACCTAATCATTCTGCTCTTGCAAAGTACAATAAACACGTCATCAAATGTTTGAAATATTGGTCAAATCTAAACATCTGTCCAGTGCCAATTTGTTTGAAAAAAGCAAGATAAAACTGATACTATGCATCACTAACTAAGGATACACAATATATTTGTTCACTTTTGTGGCATACTGGCCATTGCAATACTGATATCACAGAAGGCTACACTATGCAAATTTGCCCTCTACTCAGTCTCAATTTTTCTTACAGTGCACTGTGATCATTCCGGTAAGTCATATTACAGATGTGCTTCTGTGGGTGCTTTGTGTATTCATGCAATCCAACAAAAGCAAATTATTTGCAGTTAGTTGCAATGCTAGTGATTTGTCTATATTGCACAGCCTTAGAGCCAGAGCCTCCCTCCTTCCAAGACATACTTACATATTTACAACATGCTAGCCAGAAACTGGCAAGGGAGCACAAACTCAGCTGCCTGCGTGAGGTATTGATTGGACAGGGTCCATCAAGAAGCCCTGGTGAGACTGCTCCTTTCCCACTCACACTGGAATCAATCCAGCCTCCACTCCCAGCACGGACCCCCTGCCTGTGCCTATCGATCCCCAGTGGGGGCTCACCTGATGCGAGTGAAGGCGTAGAGGAGGTAGGCTGCCGTGTTGCCCCTGTCGTCCAGCATCTTGTCAAAGGAGAAGATGTAGTCGTTGATGCGGTTGTGAGACAGGTCAGCATACTTGATGCAGCCGAAAGCGACGGCACGCTGCGCTCGCGTGAGCTCTTCAGGGGTCAAAACCTAAATTTAGGTAGACATGCACAGAGTTACAAAACAGCACAACATTTATGCTGTAACATTCAAAATCCTTAAAAGCTAAACATTTGGTGTCGACTGATGACCCACATTGCTGCCCTGCAGATTTATGGGTGCAAATCATGCCTATAAAGCACAGGCTTGTCAGTAGTTTGTTTTATTTTGTAATAGTTGCTTCTGAATTGAGGGAAAACAGTCCATCATTAAGCGTCTTAGGGTTTCATGCTCATATACCACTCTTAAGAAATTGCTAAGCTGACAGTCGCTACTTGTATTAAAGGAGTACAGGTTGAACTGGTAAATATGAAACACAAAACACCATGAAGAAATATAAGAAAAATAAGAGCTACTTTGACAAAAATAACAAAAACCAACAAAAGCTCATCCCATATCACTACAATTATATTTTCAAACAGGAATTCAACCAATTTATTGCATAATTGAATGGCTAAGATGTAAATACAGTCATTCAAATTGGTTTGCTCTATTCCAGAGAATCATAAAGTGGTGTTGATAGGAACCAGACTTGAGCAGCATTTAATGGCCCTAAAAGCTCCCTCACAGAAAGGTATTATATGAAATGGTTCCAAATATGCTGCCAGATGCTGAAGACATTGTATTATGATAGTTCTAAGATTCTGGCATTAAGCTAAAAAGACATAAAAAGATTTTTTAAAACTATTCATGCTGAAGAGGTAAACGTAGGTTGTTGTAAAAGATTTTACCACTCTCAACATTACATATGAGAACTTAAAAGACAGATTAAGAATATGGATTTTCTCAGCGAAGCTGCTCCAACACGAGCTCCTTAACAGGTGGTGCTTTTGGGATGACAGCCAGGCTCAGCAGAGTGACGTTCAGGGAGGATGCCTAAATGGTCCGCAGTGCGCGTCGTAACAACATCAGATTCTCAGAATAGGTCGGAATTGGCTTCTGCCGCCAATGCCGGGCTTCTAATTGATTGTGCCCAGGGGAATGGGGCGCGATTACACGCCTGCTAACTTTCCCTGCACAATTTAATGCAGCATGTGTAACTTTCAATATCCTTGACAAGTACGTAGGCTTAGCAATATATACTAGTCAACGCCAAGTCGGAAGAATATGCCTCTGCTTTTTCTGCCTCTTTCTGGCAACACTAAAAAAAACAGGGAAAAACTAAAAAGTCATAGCTACTACAGCTAAAGAAAAGGTATACAAGAGCTTCTAAAGGCCTTTCAGATCAAGCGTGAGGCAGTGGATAGAGAAGAGACTGCTCTTTTCATCTATGAGCCATGCTTTTTATGCAACTCTAAATCAGCACTTCATTTGAGGCGTTTCAGGGTGAAGATGCAGAGCCATTAGAGAATCTTTCATTATGAGCAGGTGAGGCAATGCTAATTGCTGAACCCCCGTGGGAGCCAGTGAAGGAGGCGTACCAAGTCACAATTTTCCATTTTGCTCTTATTTGCTGTGCCTTGATCTTGTTTGAATTGAACCACACGACTGGAGAAGAGTAGTGTGAGAGGAATTTAGGGCAAATAAGAGGGACCCAGTGATGGGATGTGTGAATAAGCCCTTGTGTTATTTTTCCCCCCTCTTGCCTGAAGTCCTCACCTTATCTCTCTCCTTCTCTTTAAGTTTGTCCATAGATCTCTTCAAGCCCTCCTCGAGCAAGTCCATTAGCCTGACCGTGTCCCCTGAGCGGGTTTTAAACTTCTTTCTGTGGCAGACACAGTGACTTTAGTAACAGTGCATTAGAGATATACAGTTATACACCTTTCAACAGAGAACAATGCAACAGCTCTGGAAAACAGATATACATACAACACCACTGGATTATTGAACAGCATTAGCAGTGGATAACTTACTTGTCCTCTCCTAGGACCACTCCAAAGCCTGCGTGTTCCACACGTGTGACCTTGGGGTCATACCAGCCGATCATCTGAGCTGCAGCGAAAACCACTTGGAAGTGCACACCCTGTCATAAAATGAACACAAATGAACAAATATACAATTTACTATCCACCAAATAGCTAGTGAAACAACACAGATACTGGAGTCCTGGCGTTAAATCAGCATTACAGTACACCTTGTATATCAGCTTGCCAATAAGATTAGCCGGCTGAAGTCAAGGAAATGTATTTGCATTTGCAATAATCTTAGTGATAAAGCACCAACATTTGGTAAGGATGCAGCAAACTTTCAGCCAACTAAAAAATGGCACTTCTGGTTTTCAGTCAAAAGAGGCTGAAAAGCTGAAAAATGTTGACCAAAAAACACCCAAAAGATTATACAAGCCTACAAGTGTCGAATTCAACACATTTACAAATAATGTTAATGGTAATGACAGCAAACAGTGATTTAAAACACTCTTCAAACAGTTTGAGCAGTAGCTGATCAGCTGTGAAAATGTCAGCCATGTGGAACTATTTCACAGCTTCTATGAAGGCCATTACACAAGCAATTTGTAACCACTGTTCACAGTATCGGGAGGGGGTACAATACCCAAGAACAACTTTACTATAGGTTTACTACTATTTGAAAACAACATCCCACTTGCAGTGCAGTATACAGCAAAACAAAAGCAGAAAGTCAAGGCCCTGGTATTCTGCCAATGCCACCTATAGACCCAGCTTCTGAAGTCATGAGAAAATAAAGTAATGAAAGTAAAGAAATTCATTGTTTTGGATGACCAACCATTCTCTGCTCTTGAGCATGCTGGATTTTGTGGCACATACTGGAGTCTACATACTGTAATAATATGTAATAATATCTATGTAAATAAAAAAGGAAGAGGATGACCAACAACAAGATGGAAGGATACAATCTGAGGAATCATAAACCCGCCCTTCAGAAGCCTGAAAACCCAAATGGAGGACAGGATATTCTGGAGGAACACTATCCGTAAGGTCTGTCAGGAGTAGAAAACAACTTGACAGCACTTGCTTTATCAGAATTCCTTAAAACTGGTTTTGGTTTTATCACAAAGCTTTCAAATCGGTCTGGTCCTTATAGAAAATAAGCTCCTTTTCAGTCTCACAGACTCATATATCTCTTTTTCTGGTGGTTGTATATTGTCTGATAAACATGAATCCAGCAACACTCACTAGCCACTTTACTAAGTGCTTTCCTTGTATCTACACTCATTTGTCCAGTTCCACTTATGATGTAGTTGCACTCTGTAGTTTAATTAAATTATTAAATTCTCATTTACCTTTTAATTTTCCTTTCAAAATTGTATTTAGCATTAAGTATTTTAGAATCAAAATACAGAGTACATGTTACAAAATACATTTTTTAATAACAGAATTTGAAACCCACCTTCTTTATTTGAATATTCTCTTAAATTTGAATATTCAAGTGTCTTTTTGGCACTTGGCCCACCACAAACCTTGCACTTTGCCCCAAGACAAAAAGTTTGGGCACCCTAGACTAGCAGATGTTTAACACAAACTGTGCTGCATAAGTTATCATCATCTTCACGGTGGATCAAAAAGGCAGGTGTGTCTCAAAGAGTTGTCAGTAAGTGGACACAGTGTTTAAAAACTCCAGCAGCACTGCCGTGTCTGAGCTGCATTGTACCAGCACAACGTACACTAACACACCACCACCATGTCAGTGTCAAAGCAGTGCTGAGAATGACCCACCACTCAAATAATACCCAGAATTACAAAGTGCATCTATATGGTAAAAGAAGCTGATAAAATGAACAATAAGTGTAGACATAAGGCAGGTAGGTCGACCTAATGTAGTGGCCGGTCAGTTTTTATATAACTTTTAATTTCATTCAAATATCTGCAACCCTGGTCACAGCATTAGAAACCTGGGATAGTCATTGTATGCAGACAGGCATATGACCCATTCTCACAGAGAGCACAGTGATACTAATGTATGAACCTGATGCAGTGAGAAAGACTGTAGCATACCAGAGAACTGGCCCGGCCTGAATTAATATTTGATGCAATGAGAAGTTGAAACTCACATACACACACACACACTCACACACACACACACACACACACACACAGAGAAGCATGCGCAGGTTATTCTTGCTGCAGAGGTGAGAGCTCTGGGCCATGACTGGACTTTCTCTCCAAACCCTCCATAGATCGCTGAGGTCCAGCAGCGCCACACACGCACCTGGCCACTGTCAGTCACATAGATGATGATGTCAGCCTTCTCGTCGAAGAGACGCTGCCGCAGGGCTGCCAGGTCAGACGTGTCATAGGTATAGCCCCCATCTGACTTCACCACTGTCAGGGGGATGGACTGACCTGGAGCAAACACTATCTTCCTGCCCTCATCCAACTCCACCAGGCCTGAGAGCAAAAGAGTGTGAGAGAGAAAGAGAGAGTAGTGGGGGAAAAACAAAAAAAAGAGGGCACAAGACAGAGAAAGACCGAGGAAGAGAGTGAGAGGAGGGAAGGATCAGAATGGGGGAAAAAGACGGGGGGAGAGACAGACAGAGAGGGCAGCAGAGAGAGAGAGAGAGGGCAGCAGAGAGACAGGGCAGTGAGAGTGAGAGAGAGAGAGAGCGAAAGAGAAAGAAAGTAGGAACGAGAGAAAATACAGTGGAAAAAAGAGGGACAAGACAGACAGAGGAAGAGAGAAAGAGGAGGGGAGGAACAGAATAGGGGAAAAAAGGGGGAGAGAGAGATGGAGAGAGTGAAAGAAAAATAAAGAGAATGTAGCAGAGAGACAGGCAAGGAGAGTGTGAAAAGAGAGAGAGAGAGAGAGAGAGAGAGAGAGAGAGAGAGAAGGACAAGAAAGTGCAAATGAGCATGTTGAAGCAGCAACACTGCCCCCTGATGGTCAGAGACTGGAGCCTACATGTCAAACTTCAGTGTAATTTCAGATATTTTTCTATAAAATTGTCATCATCATATTATAAACAAGCAATACGGAACGCTGCTGGGAATTATGAAAGCACAGTACAGAACGCTGTTGAGCATTATGAAAAAGCAGCATGGAGCACTGTTGGGAATTATGAAATAGCAGTATGGAACGGTGTTGGGAATAATGAAAAAGCAGTACGGAATGCTGTGGGGTATTATGTAAGGAGCGGTACGGAATGCTGTTGGGGATTATTATCCATAATCCAAAAAGAAGCAGTACGGAACGCTACAAAAAAAGCAGTACGGAACGCTGTGGGGTATTATTTAAAAAGCAGTACGGAACACTGTTGGTATTATGAAAAAGCAGTACAAAACGCTGTTGGTATTATGAAAAAGCAGTATGGAACGCTGTGGGGTATTATGTAAAAGCAGTACGGAATGCTGTTGGGAATTATAAAAGTGCAGTATGGAACGCTGTTGGGCATTGTGAAAAAGCAGTACGGAACGCTGTTGGGCATTATGAAAAAGCAGTACGGAACGCTGTTGGGCATTATGAAAAAGCAGTACGGAACGCTGTTGGGAATTATGAAAAAGCAGTATGGAATGCTGTTGAGCATTCCAAAAAAAGCAGTGCGGAACACTGCTGGGAATTATAAAGAAGCAGTACGGAACCTGGTTTGGTATTATTAAAAAAGCAGTACGGAATGCTGTTGGCAATTATAAAAGAGCAGTACGGAACGCTGTTGGTATAACAAAAGAGCAGTACGGAACGCTGTTGGTATAACAAAAGAGCAGTACGGAACGCTGTTGGTATAACAAAAGAGCAGTACGGAACGCTGTTGGTATAACAAAAGAGCAGTACGGAACACTGTTGGTATTATGAAAAAGCAGTACAGAACGCTGTGGGGTATTATGTAAAAGCAGTACGGAATGCTGTTGGGAACTATAAAAGCACAATACGGAATGCTGTTGGGAATTATGAAAAAGCAGTACGTAATGCTGTTGGCAATTACAAACTTTAAAATTATTATTAAGTGTCACTTGACTGGACACCCCATTTTCCCTTGTTTTTTTACCCCTCCTGACTCAGCAACGCAACTTCTTTTAATTCTAACAAACACTTTTCCAGTGCAGCTTTAATAAAATCAGAATCATTTTCTAATCACATGTCAGCAATTTGAAACCTAATTGTGAGGTGTCTGGAGTTTCTAACCCCTTCAGAAAACAAAGAAGCGTGTTTGAGAGAGTTTGAAAAGGTGTCATTTGAACAGCCCTTATTGGTACCTCAGAGTCCTTCATGTCACTCTCACCTTTCTCCTCAAACTCCTTCACCACCTCTGTCATCATGTCCTGGTAGTAGGACTCCCCTCGCTCGATGATACGGATGCCCAGGCAGTCGTACACCTTTTGGAACTCTACCAGCGAGAGAGAGACAAAGAAAGAAAGAGAGAGAGAGAAAGAGAGAGAGAAAGAGAAAGAGAGAGAGAGAGAGAGAGAGAGAGAGAGAGAGAGAGTTTAATTACACAAGCCACACCTCGGGGAAATCAAACTAAGCAAATGTCTCGAGTTAACAAAGAAAAAAAAACAGATTTGATGTGTTCAGCAGGAAAACCTACACATACGCACACTAATTGACCTTCATTATATAAGCCTCCATTTGAGGGGGTGGGGTTATTAAGGCATTAAGGGTATCAGGGTACTCCCAGCCCATCATATCAAGATAAATATGAAGCTAGAGCGAGCAGTGTTAAATATGGAGGGGAAAGGCAGACGAGGAAGACGAGGAAGACAAGGCAGTCAGTTGCGGTGCCTGGGGGCGCCTGTGCCCTTCAGAGTTCAGAAGCTAAAACTGCAGCGCTGGTTGGAATAGATTCGCTTCTCGGAAAGGTCTCTATTAAATATAGAGGCTAAAGCGGAAGGCCGAGGGAGAGGGATTAGCCGGAGAAGGTCTCAGTCTATAATTTTAAAGTGATGTGGAATTAAAGGGAGTGCTAACAAATTCAAAGTGAGGTACTGTGTGCCCAAGTTTAAACGGACAGCTCAACATTTTGAAGGTTAGAGAGGCTGCTTGTCTGTACTTGAGACAAGGCCAGCTAGCAGATCCAACAGACTTAGCTAAGCGTTCCTGGCTGCACTACTGTGTTTTAAACTGAAACTTAAAAGGTAAGAAGTGCACAGAATTGCAGGATTTAGCACTGTAAAGTCGCGTAACGTCCAAAGGGCACTAACACATATTGAATACTTCAAAAGAGAAGATTTTTTCAAATTTCTGCACTGGATAAGACTTAGATGTAGATTACAAATATGTCTCCTTATGCTTAAGACGTTGTTTAACATTGCCGTTCATTTCAAAGAAGTACATGCAGGGCAGCGTAAGGCAAAACAGTGCTGAAAGAAAACATTTTTTCAGATTACTCACTACTAATCGCTACACCATTAAAGACTTCTTCATTCAGGATTAAATTAACATGGGGTGTAGAGGTAAGTCCTCGTCTGACCGGCACTCCTTTGTGATTTTATTGTCGTCCCGATCAGCCATGTCTGTCTTTTTCTCCCTCCCTGAGAAAATTACAGTCTGAATTACCTACTGTTTCTCACCAAACTCAGCGGAGCTCTGATCATTTCAGTCCCATTCAGATGCACATCTGTTTTTCCAGGCAGATGTCACATCGCGTTACACAAATAGATTTCTGACCGCTGCTTCTTGCTGTATGTGGACTCCTAGTGCGCGTATCAGAAATATTAGCTCTTTCCGAATCAAAAAATGAAAAATAGATGCTTTTGAAGAGTCACTGAACCATTTACTTGCTCTGGGCTGTTACACAATATGGTACCTGGAAAAGCACAATCATTTTAATGGCAGCTACAGCTTTAGAGCTTTCTTTATATTACAATTTTATTACAATATTACAAGTTCACTAGAATTAATGACTAGTATCACTGTCAGTTCCCTAAAGGTCTAAAGATAAATTCTGATCACATAAAATAGCCAATAACCCACCACAAACACGCTTATCCTGTTGTAAATGTATTGCCTTCCAAATGGGATGGTTTTATCACTGAGATGTGTATTTTTTAAACAGACAGATAGATAAATTAATCCAATCCAAAAATGGCTAAAGAGTCCTTGGGCAAGACACCGAATACTGTATTCCTGAAACAAAACGATCCTAGTAACTTCTACAAATGGGTAAGAGAGTTTACTAAATTCTGTCAAAAATGACTGGAAGAAAAGAGTTTGGACTAGTTGTACTTTTTAGAACAACAAACAAACAAACATTCTTATGTTAGCTAAACTACATTTTTCCGGTAATGGCGCCTACATAAGCTGGTCAAGACAAATGACTTTACTCTAGGAGTGGCAATATGACAGTGTTTTATTATTATCGTGATAACTGACTGCGTTTCTGAGCACGTTGTGATTATCATCAATACCTAGAGAACACGGGCCAACTGCATGTTTCATTAAAAAGAGAGCATGATTAGTCCTGTACAATTACATTTACTGCAGCATAGTATCTAAAACACCAAATAAAAGGCACTGTTTTCATAGTTTTTCAAAGTATTTTTAATATTTGGCAACACAGGTGGTCTATTAAACTTCAACACAGGAGGTGGTGTCCTCTCACTTTTTTGGGTAAAATGTTAAAAAACTGACTTTGTAGCTTAGTGTATGTCACATTGACATAATGCTGATGTGACACACACACAAAAATGCTCACTTTTGTTCAACCAGCCTGACATGGCAAGCTGTCATATTATCAGCATTATGCCACTGCGATATTATGACACTGAGCTACGAAGTCTGTCATTTTAACCCCAGAAAGCGTTACCATATTTCTTTTAGTGCTGATAACAAAATGTGAGTTAGTATAACAAATGAACTCTAAGAACAAAAAGTAAACGTTCAAAAGCTATTAGAAAAAGGTACTAAGGATTTAGATTCTTTGTATGGTGTATCCATGTACGCTCAGGTGGTCCCCAAATAGTTTTGGAGATCTACCTTCCAGAAGAAATTCCAACCACAACCCACACTTTAGCATTTTACAAAGCATGTTAGATTCAGGTTGGACCTAGAAAGCAGCTCTTCAGGAGGAGGTTTCATGAGCTCTCAAACAAAAGCCAAGTATCTTCAGTCTTTAACTCTATCACATTATTGATTTGCCAAGGTTTTTGTTATTTTGCAAGCAGAAACATGAAGCACTATATTTGCAATATGTTCATACCATGCAGCCCTCATCATATGCATCAGATGCTGCAGTAATTATTGCCTTGTTGAAGCCAGGATAGGTGACATGCATGCTACTTTTCTAACTACTCTCCCCCTCCAAAACACAGCAACATAACATAAATAGAGAGGTTGCACTTCCCAACTATGCAGCAAAGTAAGGACACATTAGTTCCTGTTGTTGCCTGTAAGCTACTGTGCCTCATTTGCTTCAAAAAGCTAAAGCTGTAGTCTACTGCAAAGACTGAATAAATGTGGAAAATCAGTCTGAATATGTTCCACATGTCCATGTGGACAAGTGTACACTTATTTAGGGAAACATGTACGTAGCCAGGCTAACATGGCTTTTACTGCTGCTTAGAATAAAACCAGGGCCCTGTGGTGTTCAGTTCATCAGGCTTCTGAGAAGCAATTTTTCATCCCTCTATAATTATTTTCTACCCTAATGCACTGAAGCTTTGTGCAAAATGGATTTGAAAGCTGGTGGTCTCTTTGGCCCAACCCCTCCTTAAAGGGAAAGATGTGCCAGCTCTGAGCACTGAGAACTGCTGATTATATAATAAATTTTTCACTTTCCATTTATATACCTGCTACAGCTGAATAAATGCAGCCTCATTCAATACGCTAGTAATCAAGGAACAGGGCAGATAAATTGTCCCATGAAGCTATTAGGTGTCTATGAATATTAGGTGTAGCATTCAGCCACGCATGGCTCAAGGCTTTGAATCAGAACAGATAACAGCGATTCCAAGCCAGCTTTTCAGTCATCGACTCAGCTGCAAAGCAACCCTGACCCCTAGTGGTGCTCTAAGGTAAGATCATTTACTTTGAGATCTAAATATTATACAAGTTAGAGCCTCTTGGCATGATGGTGAGAAGGCTAGAGTGAACACCAGTTTGTATGGCTTGATCTATACTTACCATTCCTGGACACATCACAGATGAGGTTCCAGGCTTTGATAAAGTCTGGCTCTTTGCTCTGCAGCCTGACCACGCACTGATAGGCTCTCTTTTTAAACTCCTCATCATCATCGAAACGCTTCTTTGACTCCTGAGAGTGAAGATGAGAGGGAACAGTTCATGTTCAAAAGCATCTCTCCAAAAAAAAAAATAAAAAGGACTCAAACTAGAACTATTTAATGAGATGTTGTTCACTTGCCGTGCGTTATACTGAGTTCTTCACATATTTACACGTCATCATGATGGGCTTCTAGCTCATTGGTTTTTATTGATTTTATATGAACTCTGACATGCTTCTAACATTAGTCACTGTTTTTAATGGATCTATTTCTCATTTGTTACTCTGACAGGCCTCTAACAGTAGTCACAGATTATCACTGGCAAATCTAATTACTTCTGTCAAATGACAGACGCATTTTGTTTTCTTTACTTATACTGCTCTTCTTGTATTATTGTTTAGCAATCCAACCAGAGGAGGATGGGTTCTCCACATTTTATATATATTCTAAAATAAATAAGTAATAAGCATAATCAGATCCTTCCATTAAAAAAGGCAACTGAAATAAAGAGGACTTACCTTGTAGAAAGCCTGGAGGTCTCCGATTGGTGGGGAGACGCTCAGGTAATTTGGAAACTTGTCTTGCAAGTGAGCGATCAGCATTCCAAACTGTGTCCCCCAATCTCCCACATGGTTCAACCTGATGAAGAATAAAAACTGCTTCAGCGGAAAACAAAAAAACACTTTCCAACCAAGGTCACAGGAATGTAACTACATGTGTAACAGATTTGCTGGCTATACAGAAAAAGAATATGCACTAAATCTGGAGACTAAATGCCTCCTCAAAGCAGAAGAGAGGCCTTCTAAAATTTGATTTAAGAAGGTTTGTGCACTACAACTACTACAGATTCTCTTAACTCCTTAATACAGAGACAAAATGAGGCTAATTTTGCCTTATCATCTACTATTCTCCTATAATAACTTGATCATGATCACAATTTCTATTTTAAGCAAGCAGACATATGAACAGGAATATATTTCTGCCTTCACGCCTTAATAAACTTAATTCTGTTCTGAATGTGCACCTATGCTGACTCAGTAAATATCACAGTGTAAACAATAAAGGCAGCACTGTGTTTCTTTTACACAGTGACAGAAAACATAGTAGCACACGGAAATCTCCAATTCAACATGCAGATCCATTTTACGATCACCAATGTGGGCATGCATGTGTTGCAACAAATATGGGGGCGGGTTATAACGAGTTAAAGGGGACAGAGCCAAAGTCTCTGAATGTATACTGGACAACACATCAGGTAAAACAATGTTAAATAACGGGTGGTTGTAAAAAAAAAGTGTTGTAAACGTTCCTACTAAGTAATTGATATTTTTCTGTGCACTCACCACAGTTCTGCTCCTAAAGTATATTTTCTAAGTCAAAGTTCATTATTTGTCAGAAGAGCTTTTAAAAATAAAATTAAAAACTGAAAAATGCTACTTTCATAAGTATTCAGCTAATAAGGACTAGCACTTGGTAAAACCACCTTTTGCTGCAATAACGGCTTTAAGCCTGTTGGGTAAGTTTCTACCAACTTTGCATACTGCTTAAGAGAGATTTTTGCCCACTCTTCCAGTCAGATTTGCTCCAGGTTTTTCAAGTTGGTAGAGAGATGCTTGTGTACCGCAATTTTCAAACAGCACCACATTTGCAATATGCAAATATGAAACATGCTTAGCTCTTGATATTGACTGGTACAGTTTCACTGCAGTCTCAGCCACTGAACTTTGTAGCCCCTTCAAAGTGACTGCTGGCCTCTCTGTGGCTTTCCTCACAAGTCCCCTTCCTGCTGATGATGAGTTTTGAGGAACAGCTTTGTCCAGGCAGTGCCTGGGTGTTATGATGCAGCTTCCATTTCCTCACAATTGATCCAGCAGCAAACACTGGGATCACAAACACTCAGATATTATTTTGTAGCCTTTTCCTTTTTTTGTGCATGTCTAGAACTTTAATTTCCTTAGAATGCTGTTTGATCCTAAATTTCACAGCTTTCCGTCACAGTCTGATGAATGCTGTTCGAAGTAAGGGGGCCTTTTTCCCAGAAAAGGTGAACTTTTTAAATGGTTCACATGCAGAAGCCAACTGCAAGCCAATCATGTGCTTGTTAAGGCAATATCTTTCATCTGTGTAAACTAGGAGCTTCCACAGCACAGGGGTTGAATACTTATACAAACAGGAATTTCAGTTAGTCATTTTGCATAAAACCAATATCACTTTAAATTCATTCATTTTGAGGGTCAGTCTTTTAAAATAAAACATGACACAGCACAGAAAATCAATGTTTGTAAATCAGATGAATCTGATGACTTAAGGGGTTAAACACTTTTACAGGCTGTGGTGTGTGCCCGTCCACCAGGCCCCCGATGATGACTGCAAGAACCGGCAGGGAGCAGGGCCCGAACAAAAAGAGTAGGAAGAGGAGAACCACGAGTGAGCCCAGCCTCATCATCAGCCGCTTCATTACACCTCACATTCGACCTGGGCAGCTGAGCTACAGAGTGAGGGCAGTGATGGAAAGGCAGAACAGGAGGCTGTGCCCAGGAGTTCGGGACTTGCACGCCGTCCCCCACTCACTAGTGGTTCTCCTTTTCCCGCCGTCCTCACTCAGGGTTCGGGCCCCGCCTTCCTGCTGACTCTTGTGGTCGTCATCGGGGCCTGGGGAACGGGCGCACACCACACAGGCACTATATCAATAAGCTAATTCAGAGAGTACCATTTCACGATCCACTTACCTTAAGACTTCATGGCCAAGGAACTCAAACAGGCGACATACACTGTCACCGATGATGGTGGATCGCAAGTGACCTACATGCATCTCCTTTGCAATGTTTGGAGAGGAAAAGTCCACTACGACCTATAGAAGAAGAGGGCAGAGACACATTTTACTTCAATCGTAACAGTCAGTCTATGTCTGTTCTCATAAAGCAAGAATTTTCTCTAACCTTTTTCTTCCCATCTAAAGGTGGTGGCTGCACTCCATTTAGAAGCAAGTTCGTGAGAAGCTTTGACACAAACATCTTCTTGAGATGAACATTAATAAATCCTGCAATGAATCAAGCAAACAAACATACACACTTAATTAGTAATGTACTAGAAGATGCTGAGAATCCTTCTACCTTGAACCCAATTAATGATTTAATAAATATTTTTCAGTAAACAACAAACCTGGTCCAGCAATTTCTGTTCTCTCAATCAACTCGTTGTCAGGAATGTTTTGGACAATCTTCTCTGCTATCTCCCTAGGGTTAACCTTCAGACCCTTAGCCTTCATCATCTGGAAAAAAAGGCACACAATTTCTTGTTGTTATTCAACTCCTTTAATCTGCATTACAACCTTAAAAGCTTGTCACACCCTAAACTTAATTATTCAAACTCATGAGCGGTGAAAAAGATGACTAGTTCAGAAACCAAACCCCGGTAACAAGGTCCAGCAGCATCATTACCTGACTAAAACACAAGCGTCAATGCTGTAGGATTACTTAGTTCACTGAGTTCATGCAAGTCAAGTCCAAATATTGTACTAATTTCTAAAAAATTTAAAATTAGTTGTTTACAGTACCAAGATTAAAAGGTCAGTGTGCATAAAATTTGTCAGACATTCCACATTTATTATAATATTATTATAGAGGCCCTTTAAAAAAATTGCCTAACATTTTTGTTCTACTAGCTCTACTAGGCATGGGGTGCCTGGACCCCAAAGATCGCAACTTGCAATGTAATTTGGAGACAATCATTGAACTCTCATAGAAGTTATGACCATGGAAATCGACGTGTACATCGATTTCGAATTAAAACTAAATGGAAGCTGATTAACTTAGTTGCTCACTGTTGTTAATAGTTTTGAAAAAAACATTCCAAGGCTATTTAAGAAAGACATGCAAACATGCAAAAATTAAACCAATGCTCACGAAACATGGCTCTCTTTTCATGTTTAAGTATGTTAGATCTGACCAGCCTTTAAAAAATTAAATACTAAATCTGTGGGGTGGCTATAATGATGACTATGACCTGCTAATGTGCTGTGTTTGGTGGAAGAAAAGGAATTCAAGTCTACACAATTTTCATTTTCAGTATTCAAAATGGTGAATTTAGTAGTAGTAGAGATAGTAGAGAGCAGCAAGTGAGGAGAATTCATGAAGTATGGAAAAATGGCCATATTATCAGGACAACAGACAAATAACAGACAGTCTCCGTTTTTTTAGCTCTTATTAATAGAGCACTATATCTTCAGTAGGAATCTCACTCAAAATGTCTGGTAAACATGTAACTGTGCAGCAGTAAATGGAAAAATATCAATTTTGAAACATCTCATATCTCTGATGCTGGTCCGGATGACTGACCTGAGCCATTGCCATAGCACTGTTGCACTGGTAATCCCCAAACTTGGCCTGCTGGTTGGGAGTGACAGCAAGTGGCGGGTTCTCCAGGTCAGGGTATGCCACACTGATGGCGTCCCCAAAGATCTCCTGGAGTCGTTGGTTGATGTTGGTCATGCTCTTGCTGCTGTAGCTGCGCTCCTCTTGCAGGCTCTAGAAGAAAACAGGACAATGTTTCAATGTCCCAAAACCACATTCAAAACTATACAAAAATACAAAGATGCCAAATTCACATAAGTGATTTGTGGAACTCCCAGAACTGTGTCTGACATGACTGCTCATCCTCATGAACAAACACTGTCCTGTGAATATACTGCCACTGCAATGCAATATATATTTTAATGTTGACAGACAAACAAAGCAATCCAAAAAAAGTGGCACACAACACATTCAACTAATCTAACAGTTTTTTTTTTTTGATAAAATACATCATTCTCACTACAGTCACCATAAGGTGTAATTTACAGATTTGCAGCATTTCTATCATCTTCGTATTTTTTTTCCAGCTGTCACTGCTGTTCTTCTTTTCTATAACACAGCTGTCATGTATCTATCTATACTTCATTACTATATAATTTTTTATCTGTTGTGCTAATGTGTGAAAATGAATCATTATGAAACTAATCATTATGGTTGTATTAGATGTCTGAGTCATTTGGTTTTAGAAGCACTGCATCTCGGTTTTGATGGTTTTTAATCTCTCTCTGTTTTTAAAAATGAATGTTTAAGCAACTGTTACAATTATAGCCCAGTTGGCGTTTTGCTCTTACTGTCCTAAAAGTAGAACAGTGAAGATCATGGCAGACTGTGTCTCTGTTTCCTCCTCCGCAATAATTTTCATCCTTTGGATGCCCAATGAATCTGACCTCTGTGTAAAATTAGGAGGCATCAAGAGAGGAGAATGAATCTAATACATCACAATAAAAGCAGGCCAAAGAAGAATAAACGCTGGCACAAACAGCTGTTTAAACAGCTGTTAGCATTAGCTGGCTAATGTTAACGCAGATGGTAACAGAAACATTAGCTAAGAGCAATGCATGTTTGTTGTCATGGCTCAGGAAACAAAATAAAAAACTACCAAGCTTTCAAGTTCTTATCCACTTATTTAGTGAAATCAAATATTCATATAGTCGGATGTGATCATGGGACGCATCATCAGTGCTTTGACTGGCTGTTTCATGAAAGTTGCTTCACGAAGGTGTGAACTGCAGCGGTCAAGTTTCAAATGAGTTGCAGGGTGCTTTACATTATGCAACTCGAGTGCAATTTAGTTTCAAGTATGTTTCAAGCAACTAACGTTTTCAAATTTTACTGTTTAAAGACAGTCTTAGAAGATTTATTAGCAACTTAGTTTTCTACATTATTAGCACCAAACACCAATACTGTGATAACAACTAAATATACTGTGCAGCCCTACTCCCTACCTGCATTAATGGCACAACAAATAAAATGCAACTGAGATTTTAAAATGCCACAACATGACAGAGCTGATTCCTCACTTCCTGATTGGACACACCTTCAGAGATGAGCTTTTTTGATTACCACAACACAGCTCTTCCACAGAGCAACAAATCAGAGCAACCAACATTATTTGTTTTCCACATCCAAATGCTTAAAGCCTGTAACAGCCTTGCAACAGTCAATGATTCATCAGTTTTTCCCCTAAACAGGCTTATGAACAGATTACACCAGTAATTTCATCAGACAACGTAATTGCATCAGGCAGTTTTCTTCTTACAACTAGGGGTTTTGCAACAATTCTGCATATTACCAAAGCACAAATCTTATGTTTTTACGTTTGTTAAGATTATGAATCACACACACACACACACACACACAAACACACACATACACATTATCTAAACCGCTTATCCTTCTGGGTCGTGGGGGGTGCTGGAGCCTATCCCAGATGTCGATTATGAATTACAATTTAGAACGATTTAATTAAAAGGCAATTTGAGGCAAAACAGCTCATACGTCAAATGCATAAGTTTTGTTGATTTTATAAGTGAAAATAATTTAACACATCCTCAACAGAGAATACACTTAAATATGGCATTTTTCCTCAGATCGTAGAGCACAGTTTCTGTTTATTTGTAGAGGTTAACATGTTGGGGGGCATAAAACATAAAATGTGCCAACAGTTGCCAAAACATGGCACATTTGTTTTTTTATTTTTTCTTCCAATATGTTAAATTCAGCACATAAACACTAATTGTGCATTAAAACATCAAGTAATGTGTTCTCTCTGTAGAGGATGTGTTTATATAGTTATAGTTCACAGCTCTATGTAACACAATATCCATGGCATTCCTAAAAGTATTAAACACAAATGCAAAAAAGTCCACTGTGCAGATGTCTGGAAATAAACTGTTTGGTTAGCCAACCTTGGACAGTTGCTTAGCCAAGCTGCTTGAAATAGTAACGTTTCTCATTTGAGTACAATAATGATGGACAGAGGAACAGAACGAACAGTGATAGTACACCGATCAGGCATAACATTATGACCACCTCCTTGTTTCTACGCTCATTGTCCATTTTATCAGCTCCACTTACTATATAGGTGCACTTTGTAGTTCTACAATTACAGACTGTAGTCCATCTGTTTCTCTGCATACTTTGTTAGCCCCCTTTTACCCTGTTCTTCAGTGGTCAGGACCCCCATGGACCCTCACTGAGCAGGTACTATTTGGGTGGTGGATCATTCTCAGCACTGCAGTAACACTGATGTGGTGGTGGTGTGTTAGTGTGTGTTGCACTGGTCTGAGTGGATCAGACACAGCAGTGCTGCTGGAGTTTTTAAACACCTCAGTGTCACTGCTGGACTGAGAAGAGTCCACCAACCAAAAATATCAAGCCAACAACGTCCTGTGACCACTGATGAAGGACTAGAGGATGACCAACACAAACTGTGCAGCAGCAGATGAGATATCGTCTCTGACTTTACATCTACAAGGTGGACTGACAAGGCAGGAGTGTCTGTGAGTGTTTAAAAACTCCAGCAGCACTGCTGTGTCTGATCCACTCATACCAGCACAACACACACTAACACACCACCACTACATCAGTCTGTAATTGTAGAAACTACAAAGTGCACCTATATAGTAAATGGCAGATAAAATGGACAATGAGCATAGAAACAAGGAGGTGGTCAAAATGTTATGCTTGATCGGTGTATGCCAACACTGAAGTAATGTAATTCTGTATGAAAAATGTATTGTATCTTGATGATTGACTGATATCAATCATCAACTTTACTGTTTTACTGTTTATCGAGTTACTGTTTCGGGTCAGAATCAATAAATTGATGACTGATCGTGGCTTCCACAAAAGACGATAAATGTGAGCCGCCCACAACAGACCAAGAAGCGTGTCAGTGATACAGCTATAAATTTCTATACAGTGTTTTAAACATTCATTCAATACTGCTTTGAAACTGTTACAACCTTACGTACTACCCATGAATATGGCGTGGTTTGTGTTTTATTTTTTAATTTGGATACAGTATAATGCACAGAGAGGCACCAAACTGAAACAAGTTTATTATTTTTTCCTGACGTATATCCCTACCATCATTCTCACTATAACTCACCTATTTAAATAGCAACATTAAAACTACATTAGTCTCTATGAGAAACTGGTTAGGCAACTTGAGGTAAACATGTACGGCATGTTGACTTGTTTGTCAAGATCTCACCTTCTTCAGAATGTTGAGGCGGTACTTCAGTCTGGCGTTCTCTTCTCTGAGCTCATCCAGACCTGTGGAGGAGAAGTCCAGGTTCTGCGGGTTCTTCAGTCTCTCTATCTCCGCTGAGAGAGACTTAATCTCCCTTTCCTGTCAGGTGGGGCAAGAAATATAATATCTGATATTAACAGCATCAACCACTCACTACACTGAGGTGCAGTATCTAAAAGTGGCCTGCTAATAGTCCTGAAATACACAAAAAAACCTTTCTTTTGTCAACACATGCCAGGAATTATGGGGCCCATATAATGGAAAATCATATTTCACTCAATTGTTAAATGTTGACAATGAATGTGCCATTCACTCAACAGTCCATATATGAAAGCTAAATGCAAAAAACATTTTGAAATCAGTGTTTTTGCGACATTACAACCAATTTCTTTGCATACACAAGCCTATTCAGCCTACAGCAGTTTAGCCCCATTCATACTGAAGTTCTAAGGCAGGGGTGGGGAATTCTGGCTCTGGATTGCTGGATTCCAAGTTAGTTTGGGGATTTTTCTGCATGAACTGTGGAGTGAACAGTTACATTCTATGTTTATCTCATTCCTAAAAAGAGCAGACAATTATATTTTCTGTTATATGGGCCCTTTAAATCTAAGGGTTTCAGCATAATGTAGTGTTCACGTAAAATGTAATATCACTGTTTTTAGTATAAGAACCCACAAGTGCGCATCCATGAAAACAATAAGGCACAATATGTACAACATGTATGAACATGTATGGCCTGTTTCTGCCACTGGAAAAAAAATATATAGGCATTACAATTATGACTTAGTGTCTAATAATTATGAGACTGCATGTCATAATTATGACTTGTTATATCATAATGAGATTCTCTCATAATCATGATCTAATATCTCATGATGTTGACTCGGTATGTCATAACAATCTCATAATTACAACTTACTACCCCATAACAATAAGATTCAATCTCAGCATCGCATAATTATGACTTACTTTCTCAGAATTATGAGAAAATGTTATTATTATTACGAGATAGTAAGCATTTACTACGGCATATTAAGTCATAATTATAAAATGCTATATCATAATTATAGAACAGATACTAAATCATAATTATGGAAAACTTTCTCATTATTAAGACTTACTAAATGGCTATATGTTTTTCTCTAGTGGCTGAAACGGGCTTTCATAACGTGTTGTTTAAGAAAATGTTCATGATCTGTATGGCAGCAGGCCAGGACTCTTAAGCTCCAGCCCAGTTTCATGATTTGCCGGCTCAAGCACACCTGCTTCAGCACACCAAACTGGACAGCGGCTCTCCAGGACTGGAACTGAAGAACCAGGCAGTGACCTACTTTTCGGCACAAGCGAACCAACTAGTTAACCTCCGATACGTGACCGAATTTCTAACAGTTCCGCTCCGAGAGTTTCATCACCTTACATCATCAGCAGCAGCAGCTCTCCTCAGGCTAAGCTAAGGCTCACCGAGCAGGAGGAAACACGTACCGGCGGAAAAGAAGACCTTTTATTGCTCATTATAACACTGCAGTGTCATGTAAAGCTGACCTGTTGTTGAAGTCGAGCTGTGTACTCGGCCACAGGGTCACCCATTCTCGGAAAAAAGTTATCTAAAGCGACAGCTTCCACAAAACTTCAGCGCTTCACCGCTCCTTCAGTCTTCACCGGCTACTTTCGCTTTCCTGTCGCGTGGTCATCAGAACGCTCTACAAACCTAAAGTCCTCTTTCTCTGCTCCAGGATGGGGAAATGAAAAATAAACAAAATTTTAAAAATGTTGCTTTTCCTCACAATTTGAAAAATATATGGATGTAACCCATGTGTAAAAATATATGCAGAGCGTATTTCTGAATTTTTTTTAGTGTAGTGTATTTTGGTGGTTGGAGTACATTTCGGAATTTAACACAATGTATTTGTAATGGAAGCACATCTAATAATGAAAATCTGCCCAGAATATTTTTCGCATGGGCAAATTAGTTGTGATCTCAAAAACAGCAAAATAAATAAATAAATAAATAAAATAATAATTAATAATAATAATAATATATATATATATATATATATATATATACATATGTGTGTGTGAGAGTGTGTTACATTTGTTATTATTCACATATCTGTTTAATTAGACAGACATGCGTTTGCATATGTATGGGGACAGTTAAGCCCCACTCTCCAGCCCAACAGGGGGCAAAATGGCTTCGTGTCGCAGTAAAGGAGAAAACGGAGGGAAGAATGAGACATGAAAATCTGCAGAACATAGAATGAACTGGAGCTGATGTAAGTGGCAAATCTCTCTAAATAATAATGTAAAAATTCAGCGAACATTCACGGTGCATTATCCGTCTCTCCTGCTGTAACCGCATCACATAGTGATGGAGAGAGGCGAGCACTGAAAATAGGGGCTTGTATAGCTGAAGCTCAGGTTAGTGAATAATGTCAGCAGCACAAGGTTGCCTGGTGTCTGATGCTTACAGAGGTTCTGCTTCTTTGTCAGTTCAGTTTTCTTCTTTCAGGTAGCGGTTAAGATACTGAGTGAGCACAGCAGAGGAGGTCCTGAAGTAACATAATACACGGCCAAATTAGCTAGTTAGCTCCCCCCATACTCCTTATATACGGTATAGCGTTATAAATTAAGCCAACACTGCTCAGTAAGCTCAGTTAAACAATAACAGAAATGATTCCTTCAGATTTTGAGCAGAGTGATCCTAATACTAACTGCTTTGTTTGGATTTATTTCAGATATGGTGCTAATATCCGTCTGACTCAGTGACTCTTTTGTTTTTGTCACATACAAAGGACCCCCTCAGTCCTACCAGCTGAAGGTTTTTGGTAACTCTGACCTAAAGAGATCCACCGTCCTGCAGAAAAAGGTTGCTTTTTATATTCTTACACAAGCAAACTACTTCATACTAGCTTTCTTAATCCATTGCATCAGCACTGTAATGAATGACGTCTCGCAAAATGACTCACTGTTTGGAATAACCCAAGTTTTAATCCCTTAGATTTTGCACTAGCATGTCTGTGTCAGTCATCATTAAGTGGGGCGGGCAGGAGTACTCCATCAGTTCCCTGTCCGAGGAGGACACAGTGCTGGACCTCAAGCAGTCAATCAAGTCTCTCACAGGAGTTCTCCCTGAGCGCCAAAAGCTGCTCGGCCTGAAGGTGAAAGGTAAAGAGAATCTCTGAAAGGCCAGACATCAGCATAATCACATGGCACTCCTGCTACTGCTGCTCTGTCACATGTGTATATATATATCTCACTTTGGATTGCTGATGAGTTCATGGAGCTCTATGCTTGCAGGTAAGCCGGCAGATGATGACACAAAGCTGGGCACCTTGAAGCTTAAGCCAAACACCAAGATCATGATGATGGGCAGCAGAGAGGAAAGTCTGGTAGGTTTCCAGGTCTTGTGTGATGGACAGGACAGCTTTACATGCACATTTATAATAAGACCTTTATCTTAATTTCACCAGTTATCAGATTTATTCAAGTGGCCAACTATATTGTGTACTAAAATGCCTCTTATCAGATTAAAGCCATTATCAGGTTTCAGGAAATCTGCTGCAAAGCAGCTGTAGAGGTGCATGTATATATGAGGATATGTCAATATGATATTGTCCCCCGTATTAGTCAATATTAGTCTAATGTTAAACTTTGTTCCCTGTAAAAGCAAAACTGACTTCTATATGATTTACTGTTGAAAAACTGGAAACGAAGTGTGTGGCAGATTTTCTTTGGAGTGAGCTGAGTAGCAGTGCTTTGGCTTTATCCCCTCATTTTTATGTTCTCTTGAAGGAAGACGTCTTGGCCCCGCCTCCTGAAAACGATGATGTGGTCAATGACTTTGACATTGAAGAGGAGGTGATTGAGGTGGAAAACAGGTGAGTTACTGCAAATGCATCCTGATTACCTGAAATTTTAATATTTTTGACCTACTAACCTCTTTACCCACTCCTGTCTTTTATAAATGTCTGCGATGTTTCATTCAGAGAGGAGAACCTGGCTAAGATAGCACGTCGTGTCAAAGAGTACAAAGTGGAGGAGTTAAACCCACCAAGAGAAGGGAAGAGATTACTTGTCCTGGATGTTGACTACACACTATTTGGTAAGACCTCATAAATAACATAAGTCAAGCTCCATTCATCCACACACTACATCGAAGTAAGAAGCAGCTGGCGTTTTAGCTACAACATTTTAGGACAGGTCTAGCAGCAGCATTCAAATACGATGCAAGTGCACTTATGTGCCTGATTTTATTTAAAAAGTGATTGATTAATGATACAATTTATCACAAAATTGCAAAGCAAATTTAGCCATAATAAAAACAATGAATTGGCTGATTGATGATTTTGTTGACTCTTTGACTCTACGTCCCTAATTATTACAGTTAACTGGCATAAACTTGAAGAAAGAGAGCCATGGTTTCCCCTCTGTGTCCTTAGATAAAGCTGTATGTTTTGTTTGCCATTTGAGATGAAGACTGGTCTACTGGATAAACCAGCTGCACTCATTTGCATAAAGTTAAATCTGCTGAACTTTTATGAGGTACATTTTGCAACGCCACAAACCATCACGCACCATGCAATGCGGCAGAGCTCACCATTGAAATGAAAAGCATGTTGCAAGGCAAAGTTGCAAGTGGATACATGCCATACTCGGTCAGAAAAAAATGCAGGTATGTTTTTGTTTATCAAGGTACAAACAATGTAAACGTACCCTCAAAAGGTACAACAGTGGTCTTGAGGTCCAACTGTGTATCTTAGTGTGTGTAGAGTCAATACAACTAAGAAAATGTAATTAGTCTAAAATATGATAGTTACGTTTCCTAACTAAAGGTGCTGCGGGTATCACCTCAGTGACCGTTTAGTACCTTTTTTTTTCTGAGATTGTATGAATAAAATACAGTGTGTGGTTACTTAAGCACGTAGTTTGCACAGTACTAATTGGTGGTGTGTAAACATTTATACAGCAAACATATCTTGGCAAATCATCTTTGGAGTAAGAGGGGAAATTGTGCACATTTTGTGTATTTTTGTGCTTTCTGCATCAACTGCAGGACAAGCTTCCTTTAAGCAGTACTAAAATGTATTTCTTGGACAGTTATCCTGAGATTTTTTGGCAATTGTGGATTTTTTTGAATTCTCCTTGTAGATCACAAGTCGTGTGCAGAGACGGGGCAGGAGCTCATGAGGCCTTTCCTCCATGAGTTTCTCACCTCTGCTTATGAGGATTACGACATCGTCATCTGGTGTGAGTGACTAACCAGCCCCCAGTTTCCCTAATGCATCATAGTAGTGTGATTGTCATAAGATGAAGAGAGAGCGTGCCCACAGCAGTGCTCACTCTGCCATCTCAACAGTGATTTGTTGTGCTCTCATTCAGGGTTTGTGTTATTTGTGTTGGATACAGTTTAAACCGAATCCTTTCACCTCATTCTCTATGGTTCCTTTTCAGCTGCTACGAGCATGAAGTGGATCGACGCCAAAATGAAAGTATGTCCAACAAGTTATTCGTTCCAGAGTATAGGAATGTTGTTTTGGAACCCTGGTTCTGAATCTCTATTTTAATGTCTTCATCATATAAAATGTAGGGGTGGAAATTTTAGTGACAGTAGATGTTTTGTTTAAAATGTCTCTCATCAGTGTGTGTTGTTTTAGGAGCTGGGTGTGACTGATAACCCCAACTACAAGATAACCTTCATGCTGGACAGTGGAGCCATGATCACAGTGCACACACCCAAAAGAGGAATTGTGGAGGTGACGTATTACAGTACAATTACATTGCAATTGACCTTTTTCAGCCAATCTAAAGCAAATGATTGTGCTCAAGCACTTAAACTGTACAGTTACACTTTACAAGCATTTCATTTCAGTCACATTTCACTGCCTTATTTGTGTATTAGTTTTAAGTAGAGATGGGCACAATTTAAATTTGCTATTTTTAATACAGGCACTTCACTTTTTTGTTAAAAGAAAGAAAAGTAGCATTACTGAGTCAGGAGAAAAAAATAAGCTACAATATGGTCAAGTCACCATGTAAAGTCCCTAAAAGTCAGAAGCGTCAGGGTTCTCAGGAGTTTTTCGGACCACGTCATACGTCTTTGCATGTTATCATCATATCTATGATGAAGATATGATGCATTCACTTACATCCTTGAAAGACACGTCTTTCACCAAGTTTTGACTGAGTTCTCTTTAAATACTCTTTCAACACACTCGCAATCTTCAGGTTCATCCACTCAGGGAAAGAAGTCCATTACAAAATGTTCTTTGACACATTTCTACCAGAGAGATCTCCAAATCTTACATAGTGCAGCCTTAAGATGAGCATCTAAAAGTAGGGTAGCGACGTGCTCACAGCAAACCCCACGTCTCTACTACCCCACAGGACGAAATACACACCTAACATCACACCACATCACACAGTTTAAGTGTGTGCGATTTCAGGCTAGATTTGTTACAGAATTGAATCAGATTCATTCCTTTGTTTGTCAGATATCTGACATGCCATCTCTGTCAGTAAAGATTATTAGTTTTGTCTGACTCCCATTGTTAAAACACTGAGGGAAAAAAAGACCAATTTGATTTTTTTTTATTTGCTGTATAACGTAGCCTTATAGATAAGTGTCTGTCTTAGATCTGTATCTAATACGCTCTTGTTCTCTCAGGTGAAGCCACTTGGAGTAATATGGGGAAAGTATGGTGAGTTTTACAACAGAAAGAATACCATCATGTTTGATGACATTGGAAGAAACTTCCTCATGAATCCACAAAATGGACTGAAGGTATGAGAAACGTATTCCGACTGCACATTATTACATATGTGTGTTATTGGTAGATAACATTTCAGTTTTAAACGAAAACCTTAATATGCTTAATATGCTTTCTACTCTCTCTTATTTGTAGATTAGGCCGTTTATGAAGGCACACTTAAACAGAGAGAAAGACAAGGAGCTTCTCAAGCTCTCTCATTATCTAAAAGAGATTGCCAAGCTAGATGACTTCTCAGGACTCAATCACAAACACTGGGAAAGGTAGGTGTGCAGGAGAACCTGACTGTGTTCTGCTCTAATAGTTATTTAGTTTACACTCTCATGTAGGTTTTTGGACATTTAAAGACCAACCTAAAGGCAATAGTTCATCAAAAAATGTACTTGTTGCCTAAATGTAGTCAATCATGTAACATGTGTGTTGTCTGAAGTTTAATTTATTAGTTTTGCACTGGATCCACAAGACTAATGCAGCTAACAAGTAATGGAAGCTTATATTCCCGCAATTAGCAATGTATAAACAACGTGCCTGAATCATCAAACCATGCCAAGTTGTTACACGTACATGCTACATACCAATTAATAAAAGTGTATCACATAGCTGAACTACTGAAATAGGTTTTTCACCAAAGTTTCATTTTAACTGTGTTCTTTTGGTACTCAGTGCTAGTGTTTTTAATAGGACCATTACAATCATGAAATTTTAGCTGACAATTTATCACCAAATAAATAATCGCCAATAACAGTTTTTTGTTCATTGTCTACAGCTATTAAAGTACAAGCTCAAAGTGGCCAAATTGTCTGATTAGCTATTTTTCTTCCAGCTGTCGATGCTCAGTAGCTCCCAGCAGACAACAGACAGAGATCGAGCTCAAATAAACAAACATTACTCACTGCTGCCCTCTAAAGGTGTTTTAGCCCCAGTTGGAATTTACAAATTTTCTTGTTTTTCTAAGACCCGTGACATTTTTCACTAAATGCATTTTCTGCTTTTTTTATTTACATGTATGTGCCTCGACCCAATACACATTCCATTTGTTGCAACATAAACGTGATAGTGGAAACTTAGGCTCAAAGCCTATTGTGGTGAAACTTTAATGCAACTTTAGTCGCTTGAAACCTACACAAAACGAAATGGCACTTGAGTTAATGTAAAACGTCCTGCAACTGATCTGAAACTCAGCCACAACAGCTGTAAGCATCTCAGCGAATCAAAACAATGATAATGTGTCATGTGATTGTATAAAATGACATCAGTTCAAGTGAAAGTGATTTTACTGCATCAGTGGACAAGCAAATAAAATAGAAGTTCTTTTTTTTCACCACAAACGAGTTTCTCGGTTTATTTGGAATCCAAATGATAAAATTATGACAGAACAGGAGGCCGTGATGGAGTCCTTGTTGAGCTTGTGCTTCTAGGACTAGGGAGGCATCAAATATAGCAGTAATGGCCAATTAAACATTATTTTTAAAGGCCTAATGTACACACAACAAATAAAAAAAAACTAATATATATTATAAAGCACTCTAGAGAAATGACAATTAAAGCTGAAAAAATATACAAAGATAATAAAAATGCAACAGATATGTAAATGCACATGCAACTCACAACATGCAACTAGTTGCATTAAAGTTTCAGCATGTAAAGGCAGCCTAACAACTGTGGAAAATAATTGCGATCAGTTGAAATGAATGCAGTATGGCGATTACGTACTAATTGTGACAGTCCAGGGTTGTCCGCTAACCCCACCCCCTCACCCAATAAGAGAACAAACTCATTGTTATACTATATATATCTTATTCAATTCTTATTTTGCTTTTATTGATTTTTATATTTTTTGAACTATTTTGATAACACAGTATAGTGTAATGTTATAAAACAAGTTTTTAAAAACTCCATTTGAAACCTACCTACCTTTCTTATTTGTATACTTTGGCCACGCAAGGCAAAAGCTTTCGACGCCCCTGCTATAGTCTTATTTGTTGGGTTACTAGTGTATATTGTATTTAATAAGACTGTGTTGTTGCAGGTACCTCTCAAAGAAACAGAGTCAGTGAAGTTCTCAACATAAGCTAGAAGCGCTGACCGTTCCTCAAGAACAAGCGGTGCTGGACACCCACAAGCCCTCAGCAAACTACCCCCTACCTACAGGCCATCTTTCTCTTTCATCTCTCCATGCTCTCTTGTTCCTGGGGAAAAAAAAGGTTCGAAATATTCACTTTCACAGTCACACCTTGTTCTTTTTAAGCAAATAACTGCATCAACTGTAGCTAGCACAAGCATGACCGTCTTCCCTCCCTTGATCTTTTCTACTGGCTTGCTGGTCAGATTATACGGGCTGAATGCCGTATTGAGGTACTGAGCCTGCCTGATCAACTCAGACGGTGAACAGAATGATACAGTGGTACAGGTATAAGAAGTGGTGCCCTGTTTATTTTATACTTTTTGTCACTGAGTTCAGCCTGAATTTTTCCCCGTTGTGCTTACTGGCCAACAACAACATGTCTTGCTTAGTGCAAGTGCAATTACGTCTACAAATCCCCAGATCTACTGTCAGAGTTTCCTCTCTTCCTAGCATTTCTTTCTTTATAGGTTAAGCGTTCAGAGTTAAATATCTGTAGTATTTTAGGAACCATCTAATGTGCAACCCAGGCACTTCTTTTATGGATTGGGGTCTATTTGAATAGGACTGCACTGATATTGGAATTGCAGGCCGATGCTGCTTTCTGATATTTTCCATGTACATGTACAGTTGTGTGCAAAAGTTTGGGTGCCCCTATCAAACTTTCGACAGTTTTGTTGATTTACAGAGGACACAATTTAATAAACAGTTACTGTTTATTTGCTGAATTTAACATATTCGGATAAAATAAAACATAAAATGTGAGCTGTGCAAACATTATGGCACATTTAATGTTGTATATTTTCCCAATATGTTAAACTTAGCAAATATGTGGAAACTGTGCACTTAAAATGCCATATTTAAATCTCCTGTAGAGGATGTTTTAACGTATATTCACTTTCAGGTTCACTGGGGGTGTTCAAACTTTTGCATACGACAGTATCTGCTGATGCTGGTACATAAAGATTTAGAACTTGGGACCACAACTACTTGAATTAGCATCACAGAGAAACTGTAAAATGCAGACATTTTAACACCCCAAGCCCAGCATCCCTTTAACATTCAGCTCTTCCAGAGTACAATAAGTACACCAGTGTCAGTTTGAAAAATCTGTCAGATCTAAACCACTGCTGATCAGTTTTTAGGCAGTTATCTACTGATACCAATACGTTTCCAATATTATTGTGAATGTCTAATTTTCAGCATTAGTTTCCCTTTATGGTAAACTTATTTATTTAAACTGAACTCTTTAACTCAACTTATCAGTTCGCAAGCATATCTTCAGTTAAAAGAAACGTCACCACTGTCCTATCAAAACCTCATAACCCCATTTTTTATTATTATTTTGTTTACAGCATGTAAAAACACTAGCTACCCTTATTCATTATGAACGGACCAACAGGAATGGCCCAAACGTTACTCGAAAGTGAACAAAAAAATAGCTACCATTTTGAAGATGTGAGGTTTCTTTATTTTATTATTTTTTGTTATATGATGTTTCTTTGCCTCTAAGCCTGGACGTCAGTTAAAAAACACTACGCGTCCTCAAAGCTGAAATGTTATGAATCAGATGTGCTTGCACAAAGTTTACATCTCTCAAAATCTTCCACTCTGTTGGATTCTTTCCTTTTTCTATAGACATCTTTTGGGCTTTGGGTAATCTCAGTATCACTTTACTTGAACCCTGCACCATTACTGTTACCCGTAATGGTCATGATAGATGCCGAGCTGTTGTTAATGACATGATTATGTCAGTATTATGTATCAGGGTTCAAGTGAAGTGTTACCGTCACTTGTCAGAAGGCGCAGTAGCAGGAGTTGTTTCTCAAAAATGGTACGCTAATTGGAGGACAGGCATCTAAAGGTTTACATAACTGTTTTTTCTAGTTGGACTATGAGATATTTATTATTGATTTAGTTATTAACTCATTCATAGAGTTATTTTTGTTGAGCATTAAGGTTGTGTTGATTGCCAGCTCTGATTTTTTTCTTTCTGACTCTTGACTTTGAGTCTGCCAGCAATTAAATGCAAGAACAAGCTGTTTTGAAGACTGACATTTTTATACCTATGTGACATTGAAACTTGTATTTTGAGTTTTTGGTTTGCTTTTTGGATGGAATTTGGAATCTTAACATCTGTATTTACTTACCTCAAGTCGCTAGTTGTCCCCTCGTGGCCCTAGTCGTGTATTTTGTCATTCATTTGAACAGATGTGAGCACTGAATTTATGGATGCAACTCAAGTGTAAATAAAATGGAAATGATTTTATAATGAGTCTTGACTGTTAGTTTAATGTCATACAACAATACATCATTAACATAGTGTGTACAGTTATCCTGGATAAATACAGTAGTACAGTAGTTTCCTCTTAAATATAACATATGAAAATATTCATTTTGAATATTAAGTTCTTCAGTCAACTACACAAAGTGTGTATTAACATTCTTCAGATATTTTGTAGATATAAAGTATAAAAATGATGTGGATATGGGTGAACGAATGTTTTATATATAGAAGCGATGAGTAAACAAACAGGGTTCAGAATCACAGGGTGAAGTGAAATGTTTTCTTCCAGACCTGTTTGAGATGAAAAGAATTGGCTGAGTGGGGCCTCATTCAGAAAGCAATAGCATTTAGAAAGCATAACATTCTAACAAAGTGAAGCCAACATGGAACCTAAGCTCCAAGGATTTCTTAACATTTCTTCATTGTTCTATTATTGAGATGTAAACAAAGCCATTCAGAGTGGTTTGGTGTAAAAGTGCATTGTAGATTTCTTTACAGTGGTGATGATGGTAACCAGTGGTTGTGATGTCTACAAAATTCAAGATTATCATAAAACAATGTCTCAGACATCAGGCAGCATCACCACCACTTTATTTAATGGCTTTCTCTGAGGGAGCGTTTAGAAGCATTAAATGCTTTGGACGTCTGGTTCCTATCACCACCACTGTAAACAATTCTGACTCCATTTACTGTAGAGCTCAAGTTTCTCTAGAACAGAGCACTTCACAGCAAGCTATTGTGAACGACTTTGTTTACATCATAACCGTTTAATTATTCAATCTCGAAATTCAGTGGATATTGGCTCTTACCTTTATTTCTCTGACTTGTGCTTGTTGACCCTGTAATGTGACAGATAAAGTATATTAAAACCAAAAATTGACCAGTATATATTTTGGTCATTCCCTGTATAAGTCAAGATGTGGTGTAAACACAAACGCCAGTGGACCACAGAAGACCTGTACTGTGAGAGCAAGGTCCAAGGTAGGTGTCTAGCTGGACTCTATGCAGTCAATATTCAACTTGGCATTGAATGTGTATGGTGCCATGAGGGAGCCTTGACAGCTACAGAACAGCACTTACTTATGTTGGCTCCACTCGCTCCAGGCTTGATTGGTGAGGAAATCCTGGGCCCGCACACAGAAAGTATAACTCTTCTTGGAGGTGACTTTATAGTGTGTCTTGTTGGTGTAGTGGGGCTAGAGGATATGACAAAAATACAGTCTTTTCATAGCATTCATAATAAACGGTCAATTGATCCTCAAAAAGGTTTAAGAACATAAGAGTTAACTATATCCCTCCTGTGACCTTCAGTTTGACCCCAGCAAGTTAAACCTCCAGGAAATATCAACACTCGGGTGGGAATTCTGTTTCTCCCTCCCCCATGTCGTGTGAACTATCAATGGTTCTCACACTACTACAGGTTTGGTTATGTTAGGTTAGGAGAGGTTTGAGGCAGAGGGAACATATTTAACTTTAAAGATGATAAGATAGCACGTTATATTGACCTCACTCTCATCCAAAACAACCAAAGCTAATACAGCCTGGGGTCAAATTGGGCCCAAAGAACACCGATGCCTACAAAGTGTGTACAGGACATTGAAAACATTATCATGTTAATTTTATGATATAAATTTGAAGCAAATAAAATGATGTCAATCGTTTATTCAGAGATGTTGAACACTGAATGGGGTCAAACTAACCTAAAAGATAATATGAGGGTTATGATACGTCTGAATGTGGTGATCCAACAGCATCGATTTTGACAATAATAGACCACCGTTCATCACCGTTACGCCACCGTTCAAAAACACTTCACTAATATAAAAAGTCTTAGTTCAGATCAATAAAATAATACCAACATTATGCAAATATTGTATAGGTTAAACACTTTGTAGGAAGCTGAAAAAACAAAATGTTTGGTGATGAACGGAGCTGTAATATCAGCATACCTCATATTTGAAAAGTGGTGACTGATCTTACTGATCAAATAGCTATTTATTTGTTTTACATAACTTGCTGTTGTTCCCAAAATACTTTAAGCTGTACAGTGTTGACTGGTGTATTGTATGTATTGTACCAAAATAATTGGAATGAATTGAATGGTTGTGGCCCTGCAATGGACTGGCGACCTGTCCAGGGTGTATCCTGCCTTCCGCCCAATGACAGCTGGGATAGGCTCCAGCACCCCACCGTGACCCAGAAGGATAAGCGGTTTAGATGATGTATGTATGTATGAATGGTTGTGAAGTTTTGTGATGCACTGGTTTCGTAAAGAATCGTAATCAAACTGAATCGCCGTCATGTCAGACATTTGCAGAGTCAAGCACTGGAAAAGCGACTGTTTCCGTTCATTCATTTGTTCGTACTGGCTTTCTATACCTTATTTTTCAAGTTATCAATCATGTTATCAATTTCAGTCAACCCAAAATCAAAATTGACCTTTTTTACTATGTTAGCTCATGTGCCTGATCATGTTAAGCAGGATTCATCATGTCATATAAACATTTCACCCACCCCACCTATCACCGAACTAGCTCAGCTAGCCCAGAGACCCTCCCTGACTTCACGTTTCACTCACAGACACATGACTGAAGCTCATCAATCTGAAGCTGCCTTTGTCCACTGTTTTTGTGGTGCTTGTATTAATGTTGTCTGAAAACTTTTTATATTTCGTTTTTATTGTTGTCAATTCTTTTTTCACAGATTTTTATGACAAAGTGCTATCACAGGCCCCCTACAGACCACTGACCCCCCTCAGTATAGGTCCAAGGACCACCAAGGGGTGCTTTGCGGCCCACTTGTGGTCCTCGACCCAGTGGTTGAGAAACCCTACTATATACTACGCTACTGAAGGCACTAATGGTGCTGTCCTTTCTACTTAGTGTGGTAACATGCAGTTTTGGACACAACCTTTAAATCTGCAGGTCAGTATATCAGTATTGAATTACTACATGTACAGGACATGACCTCACCTCTGAATGGTTTCCAGAATGGTCACAGTCCCTGCGATGAGCAAGCACTTTCACTTCATATTGGAGCGGGTAGAAAGTGCACGGCGTGTTCCACGTTTTGGGGACTTCCCACTCAAACTCATCGTCCTCGGTCTTCACAATGTCCACTTTGTCTGGTTTGACTGCAAGATAGAGAGAACGTCAATGTACTGTTTCTACACACTGTCCATTTTATCAGCTCCACTTATCACGTAGGTGCACTTTGTAGATCTACAATTACAGACTGTAGTCCATCTGTTTCTCTGTGTACTTTGTTAGCCCCCTTTTACCCTGTTCTTCAGTGGTCAGGACCCCCACAGGACCACCACTGAGCAGGTATTGTTTAGATGGTGGATCATTCTCAGCACTGCAGTGACACTCCAGTAGTGCTGTTGGGATTTTTAAACACTCTGTCCACTCACTGTCCACTCTCTTAGACACACCCACCTTGCAGGTCCACTTTATAGATGTCAGGTCAGAGGCAGTAACTCATTTGTTGCTGCACAGTTTGTGTTGGTCATCGTCTAGTCCTTCATCAGTGGTCATAGGACGCTGGTCACAGGACGTTGTTGGCTGGATATTTTTGGTTGGTGGACTATTCTCAGTCCGGCAGTGACACTGAGGTGTTTAAAAACTCCAGCAGCACTGCAGTGTCTGATCCACTCAGACCAGCGCAACACACACTAACACACCACCACCACGTAAGTGTTACTGCAGTGCTGAGAATGATAAACGAGGGTACTGCTTACGTCAGCTTTTATGCAAGATAAGAACTGCCCAGTTTACACCAAAAGAGGAGAATGTTGGTGAAATATGTTGGTCATTTAGTGGACATTGGAAAGTTATTCATGTATATTGTGTGCCCACAAGAGCAAGATTAACCTACTTAAAGAGAAAATATGAATTAAGGTTCCTTGAGGCTTTAATGCATATGCTGAACAGCTGTGTATGGTCAGTGTGTTTAAGTATTTGCATCCCCCACTTCCATCCACAGTTATCACTTTGGCAAACTGTGAATCTAACAACTCTATACTTAATAACAATTTTTTCTTTCCTATTAAAGCACTGCAGGGTTCCAGGAATAACTTCTAGGACCAGTAATCATCAGGTCATGCTTCAAATTCTTAGGTCAACATCTAACTTCACACCAGCTGTGTGGTTTTAGTCATGTTGGGTCATGAGTTGTTGTGATGATGAACAGTGAATCTCTTCCTAGCTTCACTTTTCATTGAGGAGCTACGCGGTTAATCAGCTCTGTCTCTTTTACCCTCTTTCCCCTACAGGCTCCTCTGTTCCTGCCAATGAGAAATATTTCCATAGCAAAGTACTGCCATTAACAATTTTCCCAGCAGGGATGATATCGAAGCCGGGCAACTGCAAAATTTAAGGCTACAGTTGAACAAAGGAGGAAGTAAATCCACTTACTGAGTGATTTTACACTGGTTCATTCTCTGCTTATGGGATCATTAGCCTTTTCTGAATGGCCTTTTTTGAAAGTCTTATGTGCCTAAAATGTGATTAAAGCTTCCTTTTTATGTTTAGCATGCTTAAAGTTTAGTGCTGGGTACTTATGAGGAAAAAAATCGAATTGTTTTACTGCATTTAAATCCCAGTGTGTAGTAACACAAGGTGAAAAGACTAAACAGTATAGTTTGAATACCTCCCCCCACCATGTGTTTTTTGTTAATTTTCTAAGTGAAAATAAGTTAACACCTTCTCCACAGATCTACACTTAAATCTGACATCTGATGCAAATTTTAGTGCATAATTTATATATTATTTTTAATTTATATTTTTTTAACTGTTTTTATTTATCTGTTTATCTATCTAGCTGTCTCTCAGTACATTTAAGATACTTAATTGTACATCTTCTATTTTAATTCTTTAATATTATAGATATATTTATATATGTATATTATATTTAATATTACTGCTAACTGAAACTGAGTTTTCTTCACTTTCTGAAGCTTCATCTTATCCTCCCTCCCACTATGAATTCAGGCTGTTCACACTCTGTGTAAGACAGCACTGTCCAGAAGGTGGCACTTGAAGCTCTTACTGATTTCATGGATGAAGAACTCTTTTAGGTGCTCCTCTAAGCGGTAATCGTTGCGGACCAGCAGGGTGAGGTTGACACGAGTGACCTCCTCAGAGTACGGACACTGCTGTTCATTGCAGGTCAGTCCAGTGTTATTAGGGTCCAGGGTACAGTTGATCAGCTGGGAGTTCCTGCAGAAAGGTGGTCTACTTAGTAAGGATGTAAATCTCTCAGTTCTCAACAACATTCCCATTTCATTTTACAGTTCAGTCCAATGCATTTTAAACTCTCAGATTATAATGAATTCACCAAATACACAGATGTGACTGCACTGTAAACAATAAGAGTGCACTACATTTTAAGCAAGTTAATTTTCAACAAACTGACATTTTCACTCAAAGAAGAGAGGTGTAACTCAGTAGGCTGGGCAATAGATTTTTTACATAAACTTGTGTACATGTTTACAGTTTACAGTTAAGGGACTATTAACACAGTAGTGGAATGCATATAGCTAAGCTAATAAAAATGCAGCTTATTTTATTGAATACAATTATATTATATGACAATTAGTTCTGACACTTCATAATCGATGCACTACACTAATAACAATGCATTATGATATATCAATGCATTTTTCACCCTTACTACTTAGTAAACTTACAGAATCAGATATAGGCTACAATTCCAGCCAATCTGTATTTTCCCAAATAAAATGATCATCCTTCCTTTACCGGAAAGCTTTGAAGGACACCACAACTCCTTTCCGTATTGAATTCCATTCCCATGAACAATGAAACGGGCCACTGAAGTTTCTTGCTACGCAGGTAATGAATTCTGGGTAGAAAGCAGAGATAAGTTTTGGGAAGTCTGTACAGTCTGGTCTTTCTCAACAGCGTGAATATCTGTAGGCACCGGCTGCCCAGCTGTCCTTTTACCTTTTTCACCTTTGTCAGGGCCTGCCAGAATAGCCTTCTTAAAGTCCACTGGTTTGACCAGCACTAACGTGTGGTTCAGAACATCTCCGGATGCACTGTGGCAGGTGAAGTTGCCCCCCCGCATGGCATGGATGGTGACTTCTATGTTGTTACCCGTTGCGGGAATGTGTTGTCCGTTCCATCGCCAGTGAATCTCAGTTCCCTCAAGCTCATCCCCACAGCGTAAAGGAACCTCAGTCTTCTGTATCATTGCATCTCCATCCACCTCCAAAGCAATAACTGCAAACAGTTGGACTGATTCATGAGACCAACAGCTCTACTGTAACTACAGTATGGCATCCTTATCTTACTATACCACATTGCAAGTTCTGCCACATGTACATTGTTACACACATTCAAGCCCACATTTGCTTTGTCTTGAAATTAGCTTGTCTTAAAATACTATTCAAAAGTTTGGAATCACTTTATTCTTTATTGTTATTTCATTCAAAGATTACTTGTGATCGAGATAATAGAAACTAGACCCCAAGAGTTTCGGGTTTTTAGGAGTTTTTAGGTTTTTTATGTGTTATAAAGCACATAAATGTTATGCTATAATTACCTTTTCATAGTCATTTCTTGTGAAGTTATCTGGCTCAAGATTTGATCACCACTTTAAAAATTAGACATCATTCTAGACAATAATCTGGACACATCTAAAATTTCTTCATTTTCTCATTTTAAACATGTATATGCACCTTTCTATCTATCTATCTATCTATCTATCTATCTATCTATCTATCTATCTATCTATGATGGATGAATAATGACTAAATGTACTTCATGATGCATTTACCCCATTTCAGTGAGAAATATATTACAATTACAATTATACATTTACATCAGATCTTCAAGCAAACATCTTGTTCTCAACCTAAACTCTATATAAGCTAAAGTTCCTGCAGATTTATAAAGCATTTATGATACCTATATATCTAACAGCTTGTTTTCTCAATAAATCTAAGATAAAAATAGCTTAAAAAGCTAAAATGTCTTTAAAAGATAATCACCGTTTGGCTTGATAACCTGGAGTGACTTGCTGCCTCCCATATGAAGAAGGGTGAGTTGTAAGACGAAGAAGAAAATCAAATTCATCTAAAGGACAAAATGACAAAAACTGTCATCCTTACAAGATTGAATTCTAGTTTGTATAAAATGATATTATATTTAATGGAATAATGGATGTACACATATTGTCGCTGTAGAGAAGAACAAACCCTCTTAAATCCTCATTTGTGACTACAGCAGAAGGGAAAAACATCTTTTACTTTTTATGTAAGTCGATGCAACAATATTTTCTAAGTCATTCTGAAAAGTTTCTATTGGTCTGTTTATGATGCAATACACACTGAATGTAAAGAGCAGTTGACAGTTTTAAATCATGTAAAACAATAAAAACGACAAAAATGGTACAATAAGAGCTCGTTCCTACCGTGATGATACATATATATGTGAGTGTGTGTGAGTGTGTGTGTGTGTGCATGCACGTGTTAAAATTCCATGATGAATGAATCAATTGAGATGCTCAAAAATCCATTGACTTCCATTCAAAATTAAAAAGGTTATTTTCCTTCTCCTGTAAAGTCACCATTTTGGAGATACCAAGTTTTGTCGGTACAGTGACAATAAACATTTTATGTACTGTATATTATACAAACGTCATTTAGATTTAAATAATATAAACCAAACTCTGTCCTACCTTCTTTTCTGTCTAATCAGAATGCGCTTCCTCCTCTGTGAACACACTGAACAATTGACAGAAGAACTGAATTCACTCTCATTTATAGGTAGGTGAGAGAGAAGCAGAAAATTCCCAACACTGAACTGCACGCACAATAACTAGCGGTTACAGCATCAACAAAAGGCTGTCAGACCCCATTTCACACATGGACTTTTTGTTGTATACATGACCTCACTGGCAGGTGGTCACACGTGCCTGATTTCTTTTAAGGCCGCCTTCTATCGAACATCACAAGTATACACTATGTAGAAAATATGCTGCTGTTTAAAAAGCTTGACCAAACACTACAGTGTCCAGTTTCATCAGTGTGTCACATTTCCACATGGAATTTTTGTTTCATTCATCTTTCAAGCCATAAATGTCAGGACCTAAAAAAAACCCTGTAGCATTGCCATTATGTAGGCAGAATAGGGAAGTATACTAATTACACAAGAAGTGTGACTGAAGAACCTGGACACACTTTTGCAGATGACACAGGGAAAAATATGATAGAGGAAGTCCTCTTGGAGGGCAGGACAAAAGGGAGCAGGACAATGGGCAAATTGCTGTTCTACTGAAGAAGGCCCTGGCCTACATTTAGGGGAAGCTCTGCTAAGCGTTGCGGTGTCAGAATGACTTACACCTGCCTGGGGTCTTCAACACTTGGTGAACCACATGTTTAAGAGTTTACCTCAGGGAATTCCACATGCTTTTGTTGTCTAATATAACAATGCAAGAAAGGAGTTTTCTCAGTTTTGTTGGTGTCTTTTCTGGGTAGAGACAAAAAAACATTTGCATCTCTTGCAAAACCAACTGATTGCACCTAACTGGGAAACAGGATTGTGTTTAGATATGGTGTAATCAAGCTTTGTAGATGGCAGTTAGCTACGTCTCAGCATTAGCATTGCAAGCAGATTTTCACAATTGTACATTCACACCGATCAGGCATAGCATTATGACCACGTCCTTGTTTCTATGCTCACTGTCCATTTTATCAGCTCCACTTACTGTATAGGTGCACTTTGTAGTTCTACTATTACAGACTGTAGTCCATCTGTTTCTCTGCATACTTTGTTAGCCCCCTTTTACCCTGTTCTTCAGTGGTCAGGACCCCCATGGACCCTCACAGAGCAGGTACTATTTGGGTGGTGGATCATTCTCAGCACTGCAGTAACACTGACGTGGTGGTGGTGTGTTAGTGTGTGTTGTGCTGGTACGAGTGGATCAGACACAGCAGTGCTTCTGGAGTTTTTAAACACCTCAATGTCACTGCTGGACTGAGAATAGTCCAACAACCAAAAATATCCAGCCAACAATGTGCTGTGACCACTGATGAAGGACTAGAGGATGACCAACACAAACTGTGCAGCAGCAGATGCGCTATCTTCTCTGACTTGTCATCTACAAGGTGGACTGACCAGGTAGGAGTGTCTAATAGAGTGGACAGTAAGTAGACACAGTGTTTAAAAACTCCAGCAGCACTGCTGTGACTGATCCACTCGTACCAGCACAACACACACTAACACACCACCACCACATCAGTGTTACTGCAGTGCTGAGAATGATCCACCACCCAAACAGCACCTTTAGAAAGCTGTTGTTTGTTTATTTGAGTTCAAGCTGGGTCTGTCCTCAGTTGGGAGCTACTAGTTGTCTGAGTCAAGACCAAGACCTGGACACATCGAGTCCAAGTCAAGACCGAGACTTTGTAGCAGTCAAGCCTGAGTTGAGATCCAAACCTGGACACATTGAGTCTGAGTCAAGACCGAGACTGTAGAAGTTGAGTCAGATTCAAGACTGAGACTTTGTAGCAGTTGTGTCTGAGTCAGGACCGAGACCTGGACATGTCGAGTCTGAGTTGAGATCAAGACCTGGAAACATTGCTTCCGAGTCAAGCCTGAGACTTTGTAGCAGTCGTGTCTGAGTCAAGATCAAGACCTGGACACATCAAGTCTGAATCAAGATCGAGACCAGTACACATTGAGTCCAAGTCAAGATCGAGACCAGGACACATAGAGTCCGAGTCAAGATCAAGACCTGGACACATCGAGCCCAGTCAAGACCAAGACTTTGTAGCAGTCGAGTCCGAGCCAAGACCGAGACTTTGTAGTAGTCAAATCCGAGTTGAGATGGAGACTTGGACACATCAAGTCCGAGTCAAGACCGAGACTTCGTAGCAGTCGTGTCCGAGTCAGGACCGAAATCTGGACACATCGAGCCGAGTCAGGACTGTGACTTCGTAGTAGTCAAGTCTGAGTTGAGATCAAGACCAGGAAACATCGAGTCTGGGTCAAGACCAAGACTTTGTAGCAGTTGTGTCCGAGTCAGGACCGAGACCTGGACACATCAAGTCCGAGCCAAGACTGAGACTTTGTAGCAGTCGATTCTGAGTCAAGACCAAGACTTTGTAGTAGTCAAATCCGAGGTGAGATGGAGACCTGGACACATCGAGCCGAGTCAGGACCGAGACTTCGTAGTAAAGTCTGAGTTGAGATCAAGACCAGGAAACATTGAGTCTGAGTCAAGACCAAGAATTTATAGCAGTTTTGTCCGAGTCAGGACCGAGACCTGGACACGCTGAGTCCGAGTCATGACCAAGCCTTTGTAGCAGTTAAGTCCGAGTCAAGATCGAAACCAGGACACATCGAGTCTGAGTCAAGATCGAGACCAGGACACATCAAGTCTAACTACTAACTTTTAAAATGAGCCATTTTTAATTGAAGCCCTTCATTTATAATGAGCATCTAAAAGTAGGTAATCATCATCAAACTACTCAAACACTCCTTGCCCCACAGCAAGTGATCAATGTGACTGAGTGCTATTTCAGGATAGAACTTTTGTCCAAGTAATTTTGGGCCATTTCTTTTGGTCCAATCATCATGAAATTCACACACAATGTAAAGGGCAACAGGCATTTTCAAATTATGTCAAAGACTGAAAAAATTGGGGATACAAGGTTTTTGTTCCGACGGCAGCGATATAATTTAGTTACTTACTGCATATATCTAATTTTATTTAACATGTAAAAAGTTATATAAAAGCGACAATTGTATAGGTATAAAGCAACAATTTGGAAATCTGGTATCGGGACAACTCAGCATGTTGATTAATCATCTTTCTGACTTACTGGACAGGGATTATCCCAGCCACTCCTCCACAATGACACGTGTTGATCATTTTCACACTTATAATATTTATCATATTAGGGAAAAAAATGAAACATAAATATGTGCTATAACATCTGCAAAGGCTACATGTTTATTTTTTCCAAAATGTTCCAGAGTGTTCTCTGTAGTGGATGTGTAACTTCTTTTCACTTAGAAAAACAACAAATCATACCATTTCACCAGGGGTGCCCAAACACTTGCATAACAGTCCAACAATTCAAACCTTCACCTGAAGCTGAGTATTAAGTTCTCCATTACTCCAAAAGTCTATTTTAGGACTTACAGCGGTAATTATAATGCTTTTAAGGCAAAACCGCATGTAAATGAACTGAGGTAACACATCCCTCAGTATAGGGAGTATCTGAATAAATGTCAGTCCATTCTCTATGAATGATGGTTATTCACAAATGAGGTCAGACTGAATGAATGCAGGACAGCTCATAACAGCTGTTAGGGAAAAAAAAAACCACAGCAAATGTCAAATGTAAATTTTATCGTCAGACAAAAAGGATTTATTGCCTAAAGCAAGGTATCACAAGATGTCGTAATTAAGTAACTGGTCACGTCTACATGGAGATTCATATGTGTCATAGTGAAATCTCACATCTCTGAAACTGAACCTTCATCAAAAAAGGAAATAACATGTTAATGTAATGATCATCAGTAATTGTTCATACATACCTGTGTTTCATTCATATTACTTCCATTCACACTTACTAAAATATGTTATAATAAAATAATTACCAGTCCAAACGTTTTTTAAGTCTGGATAAACTTACCATTCTGCACAGTTCTCACACTAAGCGGTGCCGATACGGAGAGATGATAGCTTCACCTGTTTAATGCTAAAACTCTTATGTAGAACATGTTACATAGGACATATTGAACACATAGCAAATATTTTTGGCCAAACAAATCAAACGTCCTTTTGGCTGCACTTAATTTTACAAAATTGATGCACTGCGTATGTTCTGCTTTCTCCCAAGTGTGGGCCTCATAGACCTCAGTGCTGAGTGGGTGACTCCAGAGTGATAGCTTAAAAGCTGTTTTGGGGTAATGAAAGAGAGGACGAATAAAGTAAGGTGAAAACCCAATGCAAACGAAAATGCATTACAATACAATCTGTTAAAAGTGGAGCTGGCAGAACCCGAATATGAAATGTGAACCCGACCTGAGCCCAACATGTATTTGAGAAATGATGTCTGAACCCAACCACACCCGACAGGAGCATGATCTATGATCTATGCCTGTAACTTATCTAAGTTATAAAATATCTGATTTGGGGGTGGTTGTGGGTAAAGCAGTACATTTAGCTTTGAGAGGATTTTTTTTTTGTTGTTTAAGTATAAAGTTAGTCCTTTGGGGCAAGAGGTCCTCCAGATACAAGGAACAAGTCCTCACTTTGCATACTGCTTAGGACATTTGATTTGGTTAGATTTTCATCATAAAGCTCAAAGTCATCCACCTGTGTTTCACTGACTAGCTTGCATTAGGGTTACATGGCAGCTTTGGTGCTTGATGGACAGAATTAGCCAAGAATTTTAGCCGTATTGCTTTAGATGAGTTGGTATGAGAGTTCTGCAGTTCAGCAGAGCGACTGAGACAAGATGTGCTATAAAAACCAAACTGACTGCATCTATACCTGAATTCCCCTAACTGTGCGTTGGTTTGTACAACAGCATCATGTGCATGCACTGATATGGTTTTCCTTTACAGTAAATAGACATTGTTCTTAAAGTGCGCATTTTCCCCTACACTGTCAGATAGAAAGGTACTGAGCAGATTCAATGTTTATTCATGAAGGTACAAACAATGGTTTTAAGGTCCAACTGTGCACCTTCAAAAGGTTTTCCCAGGGGAAAGATATGTGTTTGTAATGTTTTAAAACAGAACAATAAAAAAAGGTCAAGACAGGGTCTGTGGAGCCAATACAACTTCAAAAAATCCAGTTTCAATGGAATATCTCACAAATATGATCCCTAACTAAAGGTACTGAAGACATAACCTTGAGGGCACCACCCCAGTGACAGTTCAGTATCTTTTTTCTTAGAGTGTATGAATAAAATACAATGTGTAGTTACTTAGGCATGCAGTTTGCACAGTGCTTATTAGTGGAGTATAAACCTCCTTTACTTACTAGCTACTTTAGTGTTGTAGCTCCTTGGTACTGAGAGTGTACCCCCCCAAAAGAGTTGCAGTTTAGACGTGACAGTGAATATTTATAAATGTTCTTAAAAATACCATTTCATTTGAAGTTATATTGTGTTCTACCAAAGCTTTATATTTATAGCCACACAACATTTACATTCTAGACAAAAAGATGAAGCGGAGGAAATTAAGGCAACATTTTAAAACAGATTACTGCACCTATGCTACCTTATTAATTTCTCCTTCCTTAACATAACCTGTAGAGTAGAAAGCTTTCCGCCTTAACATGTTAAAAGTGAGGGCCTGGTAGCCTGTGCTAGTTAATGCTACTGATTCTGAAAACAGTTTTTTTCTGATCTACATCAACTGATACTGTGAGTTCGAGTAAAAAAAAAGACTGAACTGTACACTCAACAGACCCTGAAAGTCAGAGACATTGGTTGACTGATTCTAAAGCAAGATGAAAGTGTCCCACTGACAGAGAAGAAATTCCTGAACTGAAGTCACATTTTTACATGAAACCGATGACGATGATCATCCATTATCAATGCCTATTTATGACACTGATGATCACATTCATCAGCCATCTTGGTTGGATGACATTCATTAAGGCACAGATTTTTTTTTTATTCTACTTCAACATCTGCCTCGTCACCTCTGGAACACCGTACTTCCTCATAAAGATTCATCATTAACAGAAGTGGAAATTTGAAGAAATTTTGGAACCACTGATTACGTTTTGCAAATGAACACAAGCCGGTGGAAGCCACGTGTTGCCTGACTATAGACAAAGAGGGAGAAAAGTGAGTATATTGAGCCTCGCCACTAAACAAAGGCTTTTGTTTGAAATGACATGTCAGTCAGGAGATGAAAGAGATTATTGAGCTGGTTCACAAAGGCATTCACTCCCTTGAAAAGCCTTTTTAGAAGAGGTGCAATTGTTCAACTGCACATGTACGTCCACGTTCATAAACAATTGCGGCGTGGTTTTTTCATGAATTCCCATTAACAAACACATTGCATCTGAAATACTCTCACTTCCATGTAGTCTATCAGTTCTAACCTCAGTAACCAGAGGTTTCATTGTATGGTTAAGATGTATGAAGCACAAGCTAAAAGAGTTACTTCCACTTCGAAATCAGGGACAGCTTGTGGTCAGTAAGAAGCAAATGACCACACAGAACAGCGGTTTCCTCATTAAAGAGTGTGTTCTGCAACTGATATTTCGAACAACGTGACCTGCACAATTAAACGAATCAGAAACCACAGAATGTTGGAGTACAAATGTTCATGTTTTAATTAAAAACTCATTCTGTATCATTAAAATATGCCATTGATTCTGCACTTCTCTTTTGACGGAACAGACGTCGCCATGCCATTTTAAAACACATAGAAAGAAACTGTGAGAATGCCCTCCTCCCATATGAAGCTACATTCAGAGGGGACCTACACTGGCCACATGTGGTGGGTCGTCCCTCAGGCTCTGTCCATTTCTCTGTCCATATTTACCTTCATAGCACCTAGAGACGGTCAGCCACCCCGCTCTCTCTCTCTGTCTCTCTTCCCCCCCCCATCTTGGTAAAAATCCCCTCGTTCTGCGCTTTTCCTGCGCATGATTACGCCCCTTTCTAAATACCATGCTGCCTTCATGTCACACGTCCGCACGGTGCCATGGCAACCTCACGGTGCTGACTAAATTCTTCACAGCGAGCTGAAACGCACAGGGCTACATTGACGTCTCCTCTCAGGGTCTCAGTCTCGCTTCTCGTCTCCGGCACAGGCCAACAGCGAAAGTAATCAACAGAAACGCAAAAGGAGGAGGGTTTTTTGGAACAGGTGGCTGTTTGCTGCACTATGTGATGGTTCCCCTACGTAAAAACACATGAGCCAAGATCTAGGCAAACGGCCAAATAACTGATTTATTACACACATTAAAAAAAAAAATTCCCCTCTGCATAACTGCTAAAAAAGGCCTACTTGCTGTAGGATTGTTTAGAGTGCAAGAGAAAGTCGTTGAAAGCACACCTGACCTAAGGAAAAAAAAAAAATAGTAATAATAATAATAACAGCAACTTGATTGGACCAACAAACGTGAGGGGAAAAAAACAAAAGCTGATACATCTTAGTCACAATATTTTCCCCTTCTGTCGAAATTCTCTCACTTTTTTTTGGTAGTACAGTTTTCCATTAAAAACCAAATAAAAAAAAAACTTCAAAAAGTCAAAAAGTGACTTTTCACTTGTTAAAAGCCAAGGTGTGGATGTACGTCTCGGTAGATTGCTCCTGATGCTTCTCCAGCTTTAAAAGAGCCAAGCATGTCTGTAGTTCGAGTCTGCCTTGCAGACATATACTCTTGTCACAAAGGAGTGGAACGGTGGACCACTCCATGACCTTTCAAAAGTTTTCAATTAGAGGCATTGTGAATTTTTTCTCTCTCTTTCTCTTGCTGATGGCATGCTCATGGGAGCACACTTCCTCTCCAGGCTTGAGCTCTCCATGTTCTAGACAAGATTATCCAGCGAGTTTCCAAATCTCCGCAGAAACTGTGCTGGAGGTGGTGGGGTCAATGCGGAGTGCGCTAAAAGCGAAACCTCCTAAAGATCAGCTCCCCTGACAGGCTCCAAAATCTTGTTCTCCATTTTCCATATCCACCCTTAACAATGGACCTTCACCCACACCCACCACAGAGTGTTCCACAAAACATGTCCCCCAGAGCAGGTGCTAGTTCTCCACAGGCGTTGGGTTCTGCTGCGGGGGTGGAGTTCCAGGTGGCTGGCTGACGATCACCTGCACCACGTAGTCTCTGGAGATCTTCAGCTCCTCCAGCTTCATCTTATCAGTGAGCGGGCGGCCTGAGAAGAACCAGCGCTGGCTGGCAGCCGCCACACCCTCCTGGGCCTGCAAGCGGCGCTTCATGTGCTGCACACTGTCGCTCGTGCGTACAGCCAGCCGCAGGTCACGGCCCGTGGAGAGTCGCAACCGCAGCTGGCATTCCTGGCCCTCGCTGGCCGGTGCCTCGGGGACCTCCATCGTCTCCATCTCGCTCTTCTCTTCGATCATGTTGACCGGAGGGGAGAGACAGTAAACGGGCAGCTGGTAGCGGTTGCCCAGCTCATCGTAGCACTCTGTTAGAGCACCTATATGGGAAGAAACAGACAGAGTGAGTTAGGGCAGTGGGGCAATGACTCAGACAAAAAGAAACTATCACTGATTGATCAGAATAAAGAGTTCTGTTAAATCTCAACAGAGGTCCGTTAAATCTGAAGGTGACTGACTTGATTCTATACTAAATTCACTGCTCAGACATGGTGAGTCCCACGACAGGCTGCACATTAAGGCCTTTATAAAGCGAGTGTATTTTATTTGTGCTATTAACTCAAACACATGTAAAATTAATTATACCCTGGACACCAAACTAGATTTTTCAAATAGCAAAAATTCAAAACTATTTTATTCACCATCTGTTTGAGTCTTGCCAGCTTTCGTAGGTGACACAAACTCACTCAACCAACTCTTTTCCTAAATGGACAATAGCCTGTCATTTTCCCATTTTCTGAGCAGACAGACATTCTGTCCATTTTTTTTTAATGGCACGAAAAACAGCAAAATCAAGTATTTTACCAATCAGACTTCAGAAATAGAACATAAAAGTATAAAAGGTTTAGAATATCCAAGTCCTGTGCAACCTCAAATGTTTCAGTAAAAAAAAGCCGTAAAAAAGTGTGTCCATTTGTAAATTATAAAATGACTGAGAAACTGAGGGGTGAAAGTACTAAAACAAGTCATAACATCCCGCAGCGTGCATCCACAGAGTCAACTCTCACTGCACATGTTTGCAAGAGGAAGTAAAATTTGGGAATCAACAGTTGCGCTGAGTGCAGTCTGTGAATCAGTGACCTACAGCACAGAGGAACTGAGAAGCTCCTCTGACATAACCTGATAAGCTTCTTCTCGTTGGACACTAAAACTGTCTCGGGACTACTGCCTGATTTGGAAGTGAAATCAAAACCAATGATCTCACTGTTGATTTTACATTTGTTTATGAATGAGTGAAAAGTGACGTTTCAAATGTGTGCTGGTGAGTAAACTTCACTGCGCAGTCTCTGCCCCTTCACTACTTCGGAAATATGTGGTTCCATCATTTTGACCAGTCACCGTTTATTCTGATGGTCCCTTATAGATTATCTACAAATGCTCAATTAGCTGTTGTTACTTGTTGATTATAAACAGTGTTGGCTTTAGTGTTCGGGTCCCGGTTAGGGATTTAGGTGGAAGTTAAGGTTAGCGTTAGACTGAGTGTTAGGTTTAGCTGAATGCAAATTAAAGACAAGGTGAGCACTAACAAAGTATCTACAGCAGAGGTCATCAATTGGCTGACCGCACGCAGACGCAAGGTATTTCAGAAGACCGAACCTTTAACGAAATTCTGTCCAAAGCCGATGTGTCTCACCTGTTCAGAATCCGTACTGCTAGTCAAAAGTGGAAATGTTAAGCATCAGCATCACAGCAAACCTAAAACAATCACTTTATAACCTACTGACAAAATTCCTTGTTCTGAGGACAAATAAAATAAATCCAAAGCTCAACATAAAAGGTCCATTAGAATGCTTGTTCATTCCTGGCATGAAACGCGGAACAGCCTTTATACGCTTTTCTTTAATATTTTGATTTGATTTGATTTAATACATTTTACCCCATTAAAAAAAAAACGCAATGATTTTTTTTTCTTTAAAATATTTTTAGAGATATTTTAAACTGCTTAAGTGTTTTCACTTTAAAAAAGATTTTCTATTTTTTTCTTTTTTTGTAAACAATAGCCAATTACAATACAGCTTTAAAATGCTAATTGGATTATAAAAGTACATTCAAAATAAAACTAAACCAAGTTTATCAAAATATATTTCATGTGTCTTATTTTATTAACTGCTTGGACTAATCATTCATGGTTAAGCTTTTAAAAATAATCCCTTTTTTTATTATGTTTGATTATTGGGACATTTGTGAGCAACGCTTTTGATGTAACTGGACTGGACTTTTGCAAGTTTTAGTTGAATACCCCTAAACTACAGTGAACCACCAAAAAAGAGTTACCCTGAGTCACTACCGTCACTACAATCACTACCAAAAACAAGTGCAGTTTCACTAGAGGTGACGTAAGAATGCATTTAATTCCAAAAGCTGCAGGTCAACCTTCAGTGAGAGCATACAGAAAGTTCACCGAAACAACCTACATCAGGGCAAGAGCCCACACACAAAAGACTTCTCAAAAGTTCTCTTTTTCCATTCCTGAAATGAACGTATAAAGAAAACTCCCTTTTGAAAAAGACAATATATAAGATCATCCTCAAGTCTTAGTTATCTGGAAGGAAGAGGACAAAGGGCAAAACAAAGGGGAAAAATCATTTGTGAGCCAGGCGGCATCCACACTCTGAAGGGATATACAGGGTTTTCTGGCGTGTTAGCTCTGGTGGTTAGTCAGAGGGCAAACAGGAACACAAGCAGAAGATGTGACAGCGACTGACATATGACTCCAAAGATGAAGCTTGCCTTTCCAAAGAGGGCAGCAACACCCTCCTTATTGCTGCTTTCATCTTACTGACGGGTGCTTGACAAACTCTGTCAGGCATACAGAATGCCAACGTCAGTCCGTCTGTCGTCCACTGGAGACACTAAAGCCACCACAGTCTGTGGCTGTTTTCTCAGGTACACCATATAGGTGCACTTTGTGGGTATATAATTACCAACTATAGCCCATCTGCTGCTGCATAGCCACGCTATATCTCTTCCATCAATTCAAAAGGGACCACCATAAGACCACCACTGACTAGACATTATCTGGGTGGTGGACCATTCTCAGCACAGTAGTAACACTGTGTTGAGAATGGTCCACCACCCAGTTAATATCTAGTCAGTGGTGGTCTTATGGTGGTGCCACTATAACACAGTCTATGCCACTATAACACGGTAGTAATAGTGGCATAGTAGTATGCGTTGGGGCTGATACAAGGTACAAGGTAGTGCAGTGCTGCAGGGGGTTTCAAGCACTGGACACTCACTGGTCACTTTATTAGACATACCTGCCGTGTTGGTCCACCTTAAAGGTTAGAAACTATAGCTCATCTTTTTCCATGCACAAATTGAGTTAGTCATCGCTTAGTATAGGCCTTTATTAATTGTCAGTTTCTAACCACAAACCAGGACATGGTAGTGGTATGTTAGTGGGGACTGCGCTGGTTATGCTGACGTAGAAGTGTTGACTGGTGGTTTCACACACCTCAATGTCACTTCTAGGTAGAGAGCAGTCCCCTACCCAAAAACATCCAGCCAACAATGTTTTTTCTGAAACTAACCACTGATAAATGGCTGAAGGATGACTAACAAACTGTGCATGGATAAAGGTATGGCACGTAGTAGTGGGCAATCCGGTACAATGGTTAGTATTGGCTTTGTCATAACCTTTATACCAGTATGACAAAAAATGAACGTAGATAATGCAAAGTACAAACAATGCAAACACACTTATCCATTTTTGCTGAATTGTGGATTCAGAAATATTTCAGCAATCCCTCATCTCCTGCTGCGTAATGAGTCGAACAAGAAATGGACATTAGAGAAACATTAGAGGTCGGTGTCTTAGGGTTAGCCTTTAGTCTAGCAAGCACACCAGCAGGCTGGCCGCGCTTCTGTTTCCATGGTCAGACAACACCTTGGTCTCAGGGCCTGGTCCCAATTGCTACTGATAGCACGAATGACTAATATTTACCAAGCTCCAGCAAAGTCTTCAGGCCGCAGATGTAAGCATGATTATATGGGACGTACGTAAGCGACCAATGACTCAAAAAATTCAATTTCCGGACCCAGAGAAGCTTACAATTACGCGCCACCAATTTACTTTGTTTAGTTCTGTTTTTACTATTTTAAATAAACAAAAAAACTTTAATCAGCATCCCATTAAATATAAAATATATATGACATTCTTCAATGTCTTCACTTAGTGAAAACTACACCATCATTTCTAAATAGATCATTTTACTGTATTAGCTGTTATTGCTGTTAACATTTTTTACCAACTGTACAATTATTTTTACTTCCAAGTGTCACTGCATTTAATATGCTGCTCATCCTTGCATTTAATATGCTGTTCCACCCAATTTATGGGTTTTTTGATTGAATCCTCTCCAATCCTAGACCTCACAAATTAATAAAGAGCACAATTTCAGTGTCCAATATAGGTAATAAGAAGTAAAGGTAACAAAACAACCATAATAAATACTTCTCTACAGACATTTATAAGAACAAAAACTGAATAACTCAAACGTTTTATATAAAACAGTATTTATCCAAAAAGAGACTTAAGTGTTAAAATCTTAATATCCCAAGAGAAGCACTGCTTCCACATCTATAGATAAAGTCTTTCCAGAGGACAGTAACGTTCTGTCTTGCCGCTTTCATCACACAGGTCCCTGACAAATTCTGTCAGCCATGCACAATGCAATTGTGCATTGCTGCATGAAGTTATATGGTAAGAAATATTCCATTAAGAATAAACAAACCAAAGTAATAAAAAAGTTGAAAACTTTGTTCCATTCCTTCCCTCTGCCAGCATTTTTAAGCCTGAATCATTCAGTCCGTTTATTTACAAAGCAATTTATAAAGCATTCCTTTGGTCTTTTGTTGAGGTTTACCCAAGACACCTTGGAGGAAGCTTATGAGGAATTTGAGGATTCATCTTTTTCATGACCTCGAGTGATCTTGAGATTGTGTGAGTGAGCAAAAATATGGTCCAATGTCTTACTCATTCTGGGCCTGCATATTTTAATAGACCTACTCTAAAATAATCACAAGCACATGGCATAGGCAGAATATTTCACAAAAGGAAAAAAGTGCCTCGGGAAGGCGGAGCTATGGCTGAAAGCTGTTGCACACGGGCAAAGATAAGCAGAGAAAAACACTGGAAAGAAGATTTCAAATGCTAGCACAACTCAAAACTTAAATCCTCTGTCACAGTCTCAGCTAATACTGTGTATAATAAGCATCTCAAATTTGATATTCATGTCAGGGTTGCCATTTAGAAATGACTTAGAACCAGATGCTGGTGTAATGACCACAAAAGTCATACATTAGACCAGCAGAGGAA